TTGTGTTGGTCCGCCCTCAGAGCAGGATGGATCTGGATGGGTTCCTGAAAGCTCTGGGGGAGTTTCCGGTTGATAAGGTTGGCACTCCTGTTGATGCTCTGGTTGAACTGTGGAATGGGGAAATGGCCAGAGCTATTGACACGACCGCTCCTAAGCATCCTCTCCCCTCTGGCAGAGCCCGTTCATTCCCTTGGTATACACCTGAATTACGGGCAATGAAGTGGGTTGGGAGACATCTAGAGTGTAGGTGGAGGAAATCACAGGATGAATCTGACTGAACACACTTAAGAGCTCATTATCGTGCCTATGCTGTGGCGGTGAGGGCCATTTCCATTGCCTCCTCACAGTGCCGTCCAGTGGAACTCTTTTGGGTGGTACAGGGGCTGGTACATCCTGGGCCCAGGAAAGATCCTGTGCCACTGATGGCCCACTGTGACGACTTTGCCCAGCACTTTAAGGAGAAAATCGCTCAGATTGGACTCCACTAGTGATTCAGATTCTCTAGGGGAGGTGCTGATGTTGCCATCTGGTCACATATTGTTGGATGAGTTTCAGTTGTTGTGGCCTGATGATGTGGACAAAGTGCTTGGACAAATATGTCCTACCACCTGTTTACTTGACCCTTGCCCGTCTTGGCTACTGACCAAGGCCAAACACGGGATTGGTGCCTGGATCCTGGAGGTCATCAATGCCTCTCTGAGGGATGGCCGGGTGTCTGCCCCTCTAAAGGAGACAGGCAGGTCCTAAAGAAGGCGTCCCTGGATCCAGAGATGGCCGCCAATTATAGACCAGTGGCCAACATCCCATTTTTGAGCAAGGTGTTGGAATGGGTGGTGGTGGGACAACTCCAAGCTCTCTTGGATGAGACTGATTATCTGGACCCATTTCAGTCTGGCTTCAGACCCGGGTACAGTACTGAATCTGCCTTGGTCGCCCTGTATGATGACCTGTGCAGGGAGAGAGACAGGGGGAGTGCGTCCCTGTTGGTCCTCCTGGACCTTTCAGTGGTTTTCGATACCATCGACCATGGTATCCTTCGGGATAGGCTAAGGGGGCTGGGAGTAGGAAGCACTGCTTGGCAGTGGTTCCGTTCCTACCTTGACGGCTGATTCCAGAAGGTGGTGCTGGGGGACTTTGGCTCTGCGCCATGGCAGCTATGCCATGGAGTACCACAGGGGTCCATTTTGTCCCCCTGGCTATTCAACATCTACCACTGGGAGAGGTCATCAGGAGGTGTGGGCTGCAGAATCATCAATACGCTGATGAAACCCAGCTCTACCTCTCTTTTTCGACCAATCCAGGTGAGGCAGTGGCTGTACTGAACCGGTGCCTGGCCAAGATAATGGGCTGGATGAGGGCCAATAAACTGAAGCTCAATCCAGACAAGATGGAGGTCCTGTTGGTGGGTGGTTCAAGCTCCTGGGTGGGTGACTTGGACCTTGTCCTGAATGGGGTTGCACTCCCTCCGAAGGACAGGGTCCACAGCTTGGGAGTGCTCCTCGAACCGGAGCTGTCCTTGGAAGCTCAAGTGACTGTGGTGGCTAGGAGCGCTTTCCTTCAGCTTCAGGTAATCCATCAGCTGCGTCCCTAGCTGGAGGACGATTGGCTAGCGATAGTGACGCATGCATTTGTTACTTCCTGGTTGGATTTCTGTAATGCGCTCTACGTGGGGCTGCCCTTGAAGACAGTCTGGATACTTCGGATGGTGCAAAATAGAGCAGCCAGGTTGCTGACGGGGACTGGGCATTATTCTCATATAACTCCAGTCCTCTGCCAGCTTCACTGGTTTCCCATCGAAGTCCAGGCTCAATTCAAGGTGCTGGTCATCACCTATAAAGCCCTTAACGGCTTGGGACCTAGATACTTGAAGGAACACCTGCTTCCATATTTGCCCTCCTGCGCCTTGAGATTGGCAGCAGAGGCCCTCCTCCGGGAGCTCTCTGTGAAAGACATCAGGAGGCAAAGTACCCGGAGGAGGGCTTTCTCTGCGGTGGCGCCCCATCTATGGAATGCGCTCCCCAGAGAGGTCCCCTTGGCGCCGTCGTTATTTGTTTTTCAGCGCCAGGCTAAGACCTTTTTATTTAAACAATATTTTAACAACATTTAATATTAATTATAGGTTTTAATTTGCAGTCGGAATGAATTGGGTTTTTAATTTGTATCATTTGTATTTTTTTTGTACCATGTTTGTTTATTTATGTAAGCCATCCAGAGGCGTTAAGCGATGGGACAGCATACAAAAACTCTAAATAAATAAAGAAATAAATATATGAGAGATACTTTTGATTGCTGTAACTACTCCTCTTTACTATGGTTCAGTGTATAAATTGGCCAAAGGAAAAAGAGGCACGTCTCTTTTTTCAAGAGGAATGAAATACTACAGGAGATGTGTGGAGTTGTCAATGTGCGGTTGAGTTGTGATGGAGATAATGTTAATAGAACATTAGCTCCCTTTTTGATGAGATAAGTTATACAGGAAATAGAGACAAGTCTGGGAAATATTTACAACAATGATGAGCGTAACTCAGGGGGAGCTAGGAAGAATAAGTTAACCAAGATTGGTTTAATGAATTCTAATTTAGATTAAAACATCTAACTGCCCAACACAATACAACAAAATAGCAATGAAGACATGTAGGAAGTGTTACTCGCTCATCCAAATGACCCTCCTTTCTGCCTAAGAGAAACAAAAGCATCAAAAGTATATGAAGCTTGGTTCCAACATGGAAATCAACTCATAGTTCACAAATCACAGTTCCCAAAACCCAAGCCATGCTGGATGAGGGATGAAGGCAGGCATATCCTTAAAGCTTTCCCTTCCTCCTTTTAAATTAGGGTTCTTATTCCCATGTTCTCCTCTGTCAATGGGCTATACAGGGAATATATAGGTGTTGTTCTCTTAAGAATCAAGAAGTGTGAATGTATATGATTTATGTTTTGCTGCCTTGCCATCTAACTTGTAAATTGATGGCATTTAAGCTGTAGTTAAAGACTGTATCTGTTCTGTCCTTCATGTAATAAAAGTATTCTTTGTATTGTGTGTCCAAGTGTGCATTAGTGTAGGAAATGGAGAAAACATACACACACTGGCAAATATGTTGTGCTTTCAAGGGCATGTGAAGACAGAACACACGTCATACATGAATACTATTTCAGACATACCCTAACTGTCTAACAGAGAATCCTCAGATCATAAAGAAGTTTGCATAAATGTTTAGAAATGGAAGATAACAGCTGCTTCAAAACTGAATGTTAAGGTAGCAGTGTAGCTGTAGCTGAACACCAGTGTAGCCTCCACAAAACACAGGCAGGACTTGAATATATATATAAAGAGAGAGAGAAACTGGGCATATTTTTGTACATGTTTTTCTAAATGTATGCAGCAATTGTGTACATCTTTGAAATGTACACATCTTCTCCCATTGATTAAGGAATTCTATATAAATAACAGTTTTGGAGTCCGTAAATCATGTTAAAACCTCAGAAATGTGCAGACTTCAACTGTTGATTGCAATTGAGTCTTTGTTTGGTCTGGGTAAATCCTGCTTAAAAGTGAATTGAAACAGGTGTCTTCTACATCCCTAGCTTATGCATAAGATGACAGTTTCAGTATCTAGGCAGCCTTCAACAGAGACCTGCAATGAGAAAGAAGAGTGCCAAACAATGGCTGCTGTTAATGACCCCATTAAGTGAGTTCAAACTAATTAACTTGCAAGACTTTCTCTGGGCCTTGGTGATACAAGCATTCAAGAGGTTGATAATGGACATTTTGATGCCTTCAGGGGATATGTGATGCCCCTGGGTAGACAGCACTGTTAGGGAAGTTTGGGCTTGCATGTGTACTGGTTAGATCTGTTGATTGCTTCCTTTTGCTGGAGGGAATCAGAGTTCCTAGCTGGGACCACAGTGTGGTGCTTTGGACCAGATGCAAGATGCTGAGTGCAAGTTGCAACCTTTTCCAACCAGGTTTAATGAGTTGCAAGTTCTCAAGAACTATGGAAGAACCAAGCATCATTGGTCAACTGTGTTTCCCAGTAGAGGCTGTGGATCCGAAATGGCTAAACAAGTCCAGAAACAAATCCAACAGACATATAAGAATGACATTTTAAGATAGGGGTGGCAAACATCTGGAAGGGAAGAAATGACTATATAAACTAAGGTGTATTAAACACAGACAAAATTGAAACATTACATAGCAGCATTCTTTGGCACTTTTTCAGCAGAAAAGGTCTGTGTCACCCTGTTTGCAGCATGCCCTGTGAACTAATGCTTCTTTAAACAAGAACGCTTGCTTTGTTAACTGCATCTTAACTGGAAGAATCTGAATCTTCCAGTTATTCCAGACTCTCATTTCCCTCAGGCTCATCAGGGTCTCCAATTAGTACAATTCATGTGTCATTACGATGATAGTTCAGCCTCTCACTCAGTCTTTTTCAGCCTTTGTATGATATGCTGCCCTGCACTGGACTAAGGAAAGAAGGATTGTGAAAGGTTATATTCTATCCTCTGGTTGGGTGAGTAGGGATATATAATGTGTGTGGTTCAGATGTTTTTGTCAGATTCTGGGAAGATATGCAGAATTCATTTCCCTCTTAAGAGCGTGATTGCTGATTGATATAGGAACAGTAAGTATCTTGCTCCTTCAAAGGATGCCTTTAGCTCTGAATTCTCCTTTCAGGAGAATCACAAAGGGGTCCCGCCTGCCTTCATCAGCATCATTTTACACTGCCCAATCCATGATAAATAATGGGGCTGGAGGTGAGAAGAGGTGATTGTGTTAGAACATCCATAGTATAATTTGGATTGCAATGTACAATATAATGGATGTGTCAGAGAAGATGAGTTCACAATTCCCCCCTCCCCCAGCTTTGTGTGGTAAAGTCCATTTATTTGCAGTCATGGCCACACAGTGACATTAATCCTTATTTGCACAAGACAAAAAGTTTGTTGACCTTTTTCTCTTAAGCCATTTTTTGGATTTCCAGCCAAAAGGAGACAATATGGAGACAATAGGGGCAGATGACATACTTCTTTTCTGTGTGCTCTTCACATTATTCTTCTCATCCTTCAAACTGTACAAGAAGAAAAGTCAGCTGCCACCAGGGCCTGTTCCCTGGTTCTTTTTGGGGAATCTGCTGAAGAAAGATATGTTGCCTCTCTCTAAATACTATTCCAAGGTAAGAACAGTTCTTGTATCAAATTCTCCCTGTGGCACAGAGGAAGCAAAACTGACCAGGGATAAAATGGTAGAGCAAGAGCACAATGTTATTTTCTCCCTTCTTTGCTTTATAGAACCATGGAAACAGAGTGAGTCAGAAGGGTCCTCCTGGGCCATCTAGTCTGACCCCTGGCTCCAGCCAGCTCCACCATCCCCACATTATACAGTATATCCTCCCTTTCAGTAAAAGTATACTTGAAAGGGATCCCAATCTCTGTATTATGGCAATGCAGAAGTGTTAAGTGGATTAGCTAATTGGCAGGATGCAAATAAATGATTCCAATGTGCTACCACACATTATGCCTGAGAGGAAAAGCAAAAGGAGTGTTTTGAGGCAGTTCTGAGAAATTCTGGCAGTTCTGGCAGTTCAAGAAATTCTGAGGCAGTTTCCCTTAAGCCGATCTTGCATAATGAGTAATACACTGTCCAGTTCTGGCCTCAGCCACTTAGCAAGTATGGTTGTGTGGTATTGACTGACTGGAACCAAATAATTTAGTTGTGCTTTGTGCATGTGAGAGAAGATAATTAATTATAGTGATACGTTTGGTGGAAGACCGCACTGGTAAATGAGTTCTGGCAAATGAGTAACTCCATACCTCTGGATGGGGCTATTGAAGCCAAGGTCCATTCATGATCCTTGTAAAGCCAGTCAAATATTGGTGCAATAATGTTGGTTGAGGATAATCTTGTGGAAATCCTTCACACTTCTGATGGACAGCAGCAGCATTCCAGCATGCTATAGTATCAGAGATATTTCAGTAATCCCTTTTGCTCATTACTCCAAAAGTAGCTCCCTTTCCGAAGTACTCAGTTCAAACCGAAGAGTGTCAAAAGCATGTTCCTTTGATCATTATATTGACAAGAACTGCTCTGTGCATACGAAGCAGTGGCCCAAGTTGCTTGGGCTGATCATACTGAAATATTTGATAGAAGACCAACCAGTTTAAGAACTACTGTAACCATCCTGTAAGATAATTACTCCAAAGTCGGTTTCATTGTTTAGTTGACTAGATGTATAATTCATTCTGGTTTCAGTTCACTGAGAAGTATGGCCCCATCTTCACTGTTTGGTTGGGACCAAAGCCGCTGGTTGTGCTCTGCGGATATGAAGTGGTGAAAGATGCTTTAGTGCATCATGCAGAAGAGTTTGGAGGGCGTCCTTTCATCCCTGTCCATGATAAATTGGCCAAGGGTCAAGGTGAACTCTCATGCCTTTACTTGTGCTTGATTTTGTTTGAACTCCACTTTGGTTTGAGATCAAAACCCTTGTGGCCAAAGTAACATGGCCTTAATTGCATTAATGACATTGAATTACACATGTTGACCCGGATAAATAGCAGGCACAATGCAGCCTGAGCAGCCACACGATCAGGGAGAATGGTACATACATTCTTCCTACATGCAACTGCACTTGCAACAAAATCTTTGCAGTTCAAGAGAACCCTTCACTGGCATAACCTGTAGCTCTCTGGATGCATGAATTTTGTCTGAATGCTGACAGTACTTCAATGCTCAATCCCTACACCATAGGCAGAAGGATTCTTGGTTCCCCTCTGTGCTGTTATTAGCACATTAAAATGAGGATGTTTATTAAATTAGTGAAATTAGCATGATGTCTATTATGGCAATCAGAAAGGAAAGAAGAACATACACACATTTCCCAGCAAGTGGTAAGTATTTGATCTGCCCTGGAAGGCGTGGTGGAAGAATTCTGAAGAACAATGCCCCCCCACCCCGCACCATGTAACTGCTTCTATTTTTAAGGAAAGTTCTCCCTGCCGCGCTCTCTCTCTCTCTCTCTCTCTCTCTCTCTCTCTCTCTCTCTCTCTCACACACACACACACACACACACACACACACACACACACACTTGTTACATGTCACCAGTGCAGGGTTAAGATCCATCTAACTATGACAGAAAACTCTGGATTTACTACTAATGCTTAGTAGGAAGGAAGCATGGACAACACTTGAAGTGCAGAGTACTTTTTTTACATAATGTAAAGGGAAAGCAGGGAGAAAAGGGCATGTAGGGATCAAAGTAACCTCTGGGGATAATATTTCAGGCAAAAGAGGAAGGAAGGAAGATCTAAATCTGTCTTATACATTACCTAACTATGGGCCTTCCAATAGGATAGCACCCTGTTTTGGGATTCAGAGAGTCACAGGCCTCAAAGCAAGTAGAGGCAGGCAGGCAAAGACAAATTATTGGTTCTGAGTCCTCTGTTTTTATGCTCAATGCTCTCTCAACTCAAGGAAGCTCTTAGCTGACCAATAACAGGCTGACTGAAGAATTGCATAGGGGAGGACAAAAGTTCTCAGAGGAATGCAGCAAAGATTATTCAACAGAGCCGTACTCTGGCCTTTAGGGTCAGAGACATCCCAGAATAAGAGACACACAGGTGGTCACAGTAGTACATGCACAACAAGAAATTCTTTTCTTGCCGCTCACAGTCGGGACAGGAATGAGATAGAGGGAGATGCAAAGAACCCTGCAGATACTGTTTTCCTGCCATGGGTACATGATGAAAAGATGCAAAAGTGCAGAGGAGGGCTGAAACATGGGTGCCTGACCCTTATGGATGCTAAGCCTATGGATCGTGTTCCTACGATGTTTTTGTGGTGGGTTTTCAGTGCTCATTGCATGGTGTTTTCCTCAGCTGTACTCTAGGTATGATGTTGATGGAGCACCATCAATGTAGATTCAGTTCCTGCCCTGTATGCCTAAGCCTCTGCTTAGTACACCTTCTCAGACAAAGTGGGCTTTCCAGGTGCAAGGCTGAGTCTCTCGATGATGCCCTTTATCACTCATCACGGAAAAGCGTGGCGTGGTTCCACCTCCTCATGCTTTTCCTCCCATCCTCAGCAGCCATGAACAGTGTGGAGTGAAGATAGGGAAGAACACAAATAGTGATAAAATGTTGCTTTTTGCTCTTTGTTTATTTCATTAGGCTGAATTGGGTTGTAAAATGTATGCCTTAGTTACTAAAGTAAGAGAACACGTTTCATTTCTGACCTGTCTGAACTTAGTTGTCATGAACTTTGGGAAAATGAAAACATTGAGTTGTTGAATGAAGAATTGCACCTGCAATGGAAAAAGGTTTAACTGAAATGACCTGCTGGTTCCTGTAGGTTGAATACTGACAAATGATTGTCATTTTTTTTGTTTTGATCTCAGGGTTCCTGGGCAGCAAAGATGAGACAAAATGGAGGGAGCTTCGCCGCTTCACCCTTACCACCCTTCGGGACTTTGGGATGGGGAAAAACTCGATGTCTGAGAGGATACGGGAAGAAAGTCTTTCCCTGCTAAAAGAAATAGCTGCCACACAAGGTCTTGTCCTGCCTTATTTATTTCTGTTTAACAGATTTATATACTGAGTATTGTGTCTTAAAACATCTCTACCACTTGTGCAGAAAATTACCATGAGAAAGTGGGAGAGAGAAAACCCTGAAAAGAAGGAAGAACTGTTTTGCCATCATAAGGGTATCTTTAGAGTGTGGAGGCCATGACAGGAGATGGTGGGCTCTGGTTGTGACCACTGCTGTGGCTTCAGGAACCAGAAAACCCCCAAAGCAACACAGCTGCCAAAAGGGCCAATGCTATTTTGGGATGCATTAACAGAAGTATTACTTCCAAACCAACTCGTAGTAGTTCCTATATACTCCTCACTAGTCAGATCTCACCTGGAATACTGTGTTTAGTTCTGGGCACCAAGATTTAAGAAAGATGCAGAAAAATTAGAAAGGGTCCAGCGGAGGGCAACAAAAATGATCCAGGGTTTGGAAACACGGCCCTGTGAGGAGAGACTGAGAGAACTGGCCATGTTCAGCCTTGAGAAGAGAAGGCTGAGGGGGGACATGATATTCCTCTACAAGCACCACAAAGGCTGTCACAAAGAGGAAGGTCAAGATCTCTTCTTGCTGATGCCAGAATGCAGGACATGCAGCAATCAATTCAAGCTGCAACAACCCAGATTCAGGCTAGATATCAGGAAAAACTTCCTCCAGCAATACAAAAATGGAACCAGCTGCCTAGAGAGGTGGTGGGCTCTCCCCCACTAGAGACATTCAAAAAGAAACTGGACAGCCATCTGAGTGGGATAGTGTAACTTGGTGTCCTGCAACAGCAGGGGCTGGAGCTGATGGACTTCATGATCCCTTCTAACTCTACTATTCTATGATACTATGAATCAACAGAGTAATTTGGAACAGAGTGTTAAATCCAAATCAGGGAAGACCTGAATAGCTGAAGAACAACACATCTGTGATTTAAGCAGCACTCAGAAGGAAACCTTCCTGAAATGTTTGATTTCACTATTTATTTGGATGCTTCGATGCAGCACTTTTCATTCACAGGTACCAATTGGGATGACTTACCCAAAACACAAGCAAACAATTTCATATGGCCAAAATATAAAACCATGAATAAAAGAGATAAATTCAGAAGTAAGCAAAAATCAAATCATACGAGCTTGTCTGCCTCACGGAATGAAAGCCTGTCTAAACAAAAAGCATCTCAAGGGGTGAAAGCAAGCAAGAGAACCAGCCACTCTTTGTGAGGCCAGGTATGCCATGGCCTAGCTGTGGCCACCAGAAAGTGTCTCTCTCTTGTCCTACCCAACCTGCTTCTAAAAAGGTGGAATGAGTAAGGTGACAGAGGAAGGAAAGCAGCCAATCCTGTGGAAGGAAGTGAGAATAAATTGCTTGCTGCAACCCAACTATGGATACTGGTGGGGGCAGGATGATATTCCTAGCTCACTTCTCTCCACTCTTCCTTGGAACATCTGTGATATTTCCCTGCCCTTCTCTCAGTGACAGTGGTATCCAGGAGACACAGAACACCAGTGGTCCTGATCCAGCCTGCTGAGATTACTTTTCACACCCTCCTGCAGGAAAGGATCCTCAATGCTTTATGAAGACACTTTCTGGTAATGCTATTCCCAACGGCAGACAGCATTGCGGAGTCCTCTCCTTTAAGAGGTGGTGGGCATCAGAAGCAATCTCAGCATTCTTAAATACCAAGGAGTTAGGTGGACCGGCTACCATCACCTCAGCCAGAATGACATTCCTTGACCAGGGGTCTTTCCCCATTATGGACAAATCAGAGCAGATGACAGTGAGGCACTTGCTGTGGCACATGGCAGAGCAGATCCTCTGTGCACTGGCTAAGCTGTTGCGGGAACTGGGCATGCTTCTTCCGAAATACTGCACTCCAAGGTGGCTACCTTAGGCTTTGAATCTGAACTGAAGGAAAAGCAGGATTGTAATTCTTAGATGAAATTCCAAGACCAGCAAGCCCCAAAATAAGCTAAGAAGCTGGTGAGAATTGGACCATGTCTGGTTCTGAGGAACACATGGCTGAACAGGCAGAGCTTGAGGAGAGCAGATGCAATTTGACAAGCACAAGTCTGGTGCCAGACTCTGTGTTGTTCCTGCCATCTGGCCCACAAGCTGTGGGAACCTTCCTGTGGGAGAAAGGAAGAGGGGGATTCAGTTTGGAATCAGCTTCTTGGGATGGGTGGTAAGGTCCCTCTAATCAGCTGGCTTCCTAACTTGACAGATGTCTTTTTCTAACTACCTCTGCAATCGCAAAGTGCCTCTATTAACGTAATAGAGACTGTAGTTACAAGCCTTTTCTGGATCTGCTTGGAAGGAGACAGCAGGGCTGTGAGGAGAGAACAGCTCCCAAAAGTTGGGCCACAAGCAAAGAGGAAGCTCAGAGGTTGTTTCCAATCAGAGATACAAATGCCAATTCTTCTCCTGAGGGATGGGGAGAAACACCACAGGCTGGATCAGAATCACTAATAAACCAGATTAGGCCCATTGGCCAGAGGTCTGGTACCGTGGCTAAAACCCTATGAAGGTTGAAGGGGTTTCCTACACACTGCAGTCTCTGAAGGAGAGAGCAGAGGAATTTCACTGGTTTCCCAAGGAACATTAGAGGGGAAGTTTGCAGAGAAGAGCATGTGCTAGGATGTCTAATGTTCTGGGAGGAGGTCAAATCCTCTTCCTATTTCCCTCTGTCATGGCCTATTATTCTCATATGTGTACACTGGAGAGTGAAGCTGATCTTGGCAACATAAAGAAATGATTTAAGAGTGATGGATTTTTTTTCCTGTTTACTTATTTTTAAATATATATTTTCAACATAGTCTTCTGGCATGCTCAAAACTGCACTGCAGATAGGCAATGATATTTCCATGAGAAAAAGGTTGTCTTGTTTCTAGCATGCTAATTCTGAAGGAGTTTAATTCATATTCAGTCCTTGGGACCTGTAAAAAGCACAATGGATCAGGGTTATCTTGTCTAAAGTCTAGTTTTGTTTAGCTTTGTACTGGGATCTGAGGGAGAACACATTCTGCCAAGACTCACTCTTTTATGCTGGTTTTTCAGGGAAGCCCTTTGATCCACAAGGAAGCATCCTAACTGCTAATGCTAATGTGATGAGCTCACTTATCTATGGGGAATACTTTGACTACAAAGATGAGTGGTTTCAAGAGCACATAAACACTTTGCGAAGCCGATTTGACTTCTTCCGTTCTTTCCCAGCGATTGTATGTTTCTCCTTCTATTTCATAAACTTTTCCATTATCTAGCTACCCCCACCCCCAGCATTGGTCCCTATCTGGCTCCATGCCACATGCACCTCTTTCAGCTCAAGAGCTGAATTATATTTCACACTGGCTCTCAGGACCGACATTTTACTCTTAAAAGCAAAATAGGGCAAGCTCCACAGGTAAAGGGGTTGGGGCCAACATACCCAAAATACCAATTTATTGTAGCCGAATAATCAATTCAAGTTGTGACAACCCACAGTATTCAGGCTAAATATCGGGAAAAGTTTTCAGAGCAATACAACAGTGGAACCAGCTGCCTAGAGAGGGGGTGGGCTCTCCCACACAAGAAACATTCAAGGCAAAACTGGATGTTCATCTGAGTGGGATGGTGTAACTTGGTGTCCTGCAACAGCAGCGAGTTGGACCCAATGGCCTTCATGGCCCTTTCCAGCTCTACTATTCTATGAGTCTATAATAAATGTCAGAAAACCACCAAGTCATTCAGGGTTGGTGAAAAGAGCATAGCCATCTAGGAAACCTTGGCATGCAGCAGGGGGACCTCAGGTGGTCTGCACCCTCACTCTGAGCTGAGAATGATGCTCCATGTCTGTTTTGAATAGGACTGAAATCTCCATGATTTGCAGGGGTGGGGACTTGGTCCCTTGAGCCAGTTAGGGCACAAAATGTCAGAAGGTGCTATGAATAGCTCCCCATTAACAGCTAACCTTCCCCGTTCCTTTTCCTTTGCTATTTTTCCTATCAGATACAAAAGCACTACTCTTTCTTCTATGAGACAGACACCTTTTATTTCAGGCTGCCCAGGATGTACTGTCATTCCAGGAAGAAATGAGAATTGGCCACTGTGGGTGGGGGGCATGATGGTATGGTGGACACCATTTCCCCCTACAATGGCTTGGCACAGTACTGCATAAGGAAAGGAAATTTTGCATGAGCCACCAAGCTGAGCACACAGTAGAAAAGGAAAAGAGGAGGGAGGAGGGGAGGGGTGTAAGGGGAAGAAAGAGAAAAGAAGGATTGCCATTAGTCTTAATTAAGGATCACCTGCAATAGTAAGAAGGGGAATCCAGTTTTCACAGTCCAAAAAACATTGCCAACACAAACAGAGTCATTTACATTTGGCTCATTACCTGTTGGTGGACAGGTAGTTTACAGTATTCTCAGAATGGCTGGGGACTACACATTGGATTATTTCTGCAATAGTGGCTAAAGGCCAGACAGGTCCCTTCCTATCAGTTGCCCATGCTATAAATATTGTTCCAGACATGGATATGCATGTACCACCATGATGTCTTTAAAAGACCGTTAAGCGTTTATGCCGATTACTGAGAAGCACGCTACCTCCATTTAAATGGTCATGACCATTTACACCTTGAATATGAAACCTCTGGCCCAATTCAGTCTGTGGAAGCTCTGGGGTTCCACTTGTGGGTGGGACTCGGCTTAGAGGGCATCCCCTCTTTGATCTCTGGTATGAAACCAGGTTGAACCCTGCTGAGACGGATTTCTGATCTGAGATCAGAAATCAATGTGGGAAGGTGGGCGGTGGGGACTCAGTCTGCTCTTCGTGCCAAGGCCCAAGTAGGCTTGTGTGGTGCCCAGCCTCCATGGGGCTGCAAAGGGATGCAACGAAGCTTGTGACTTGGCCCATGCTGAGCATGGCTGTTCTTTCAGGCAGGGACCGAGTACTTTTAGCAGCAACCACAGGGCAGCAAGTGCTGTGGAAAGCCAGTGCTTCAGTCATTGCTGAAAGCATCTCTTGCTCCCCCTGGTGCTGACTAGGCCCCTTTCTCCTTGCTGGTCTGGGGCACAGCAATGTTGGCCAGGGGTGAGGACTCATCTTTTTAAACCAGAAGCACCTCAAAATAAGTTGATTCTAAAGGAGAGTCAACCACAACCTTAGGGGGCAGGTCTAAAGCATCAGAGTCACAATAGCTGAGGCTCTGTGCATCATCTTTATTCCAGCTATACAACTCTTTACCCCAAATAATGGACTATTTTCCTGGATTCCACCAAATGATGTTAGCTGACTCTGAAAAGCTGTGTGCCTCCATCCGTGAGAAGATAGCAGTCAGCAGGCAGAATCTGGATCCTCAGAACCCCAATGGCTTCATTGAGTCTTTTCTAGTGAGGTCGGAAGAGGTAGGAGTACTCATCTCCCCTTTTTTTCTTTTTTGGTACCGTTCCCTAAATATCAAATTAATCTGAGATGGAGAGATTATTTACACATCATCTTGAACAGAGATGCAAAAAAAAAAAAAAAAAAAAAGACAGCTGAAGTAAACCAGGGGCAGGAATTTCTTGACAAAATATTGCTTTATTGTTGGTTCTATAAAATCTAGTGCTTCTGGTTGAGTTGGAGGTTAGATGGCATTACCATTACCATGATAATTTTTCATGTATAATAATCTCATTTGCAAAATGGTTTATAAGATAACACAACCATATCAGAATTTGATTCAAAGACAGATCGTGCCTTGGAGAAAGTCAAAGTGTACATGTAACCTTCTAAATGCATAAATGGAATGTATAACTGTAAATCTGTATGCTGCATTCTGCACAGCCAGCAGAAGCTCCCCAGAAAATTGTAGCAGCCTGGGGCTTTTTTTAATGCGGGGAGGGCATGTTTCTTCAGATAAGCTGGTTCTGAGTTGTGTTGGACTTTGTGAATTGCAATGGTGTAAGCCTAGCTTGGCAGCAGACTGACATCTTGCACAAATCCTAGATTTATGTCTAAGACATTTGTGATAAGTCACCACTTGCATTCAGGACAAGCTGCTGCTTCCAGACCAGTCCCAAGAATGGCTCCAAAATGCACTAATCAAATGTTGAGGTTGCCAGTAGTGTAAACCTATCCCTATCTAGGAGCTGGCACTTTTGGAACACCCAAGAGCTGGTAGTAGGTATTCCTAGGCACAGTGGTAACTCGGGCTTCCAGCTACAGTGGTACTAGATACACCAGAGCTGCCAGATTGTTTCCTCCAGGGCAGTGCAACTGCATCCAGAGAGCTGCTAATTCTGGGAACCATTCACTCACAGTGCCTCTGTCTTATCAGGATTCAGCTTCAGCTTACTGATCCCCATGCAGCTCCATGCTGTGTTTGGTCACCAGTCTGGACACTCACAGCCTCTCCTGTTTTAGATTTAATGGAGAAATCATGCTGGATCATGGGCTGAACTGCTGCAAATGTCTTTCCCACATCCTCAGGCCACAGAAGCTGGAATCAGTCCTACAAAACTGGGCAAGGTGGTACACTGGCCAGCTTATTTACATCTGTTCCAACTGCAGTGTTAAGATAATGAACTGATTGTGCAAATGCAGCTAGGAATAGGTTCTTTCTGTGATACGGCTCTGAGCAGGCCAGTGTGTTTCAATTTCTCCATCTTTTAAATGGGACAGTTCATTGTCCCCTTTTCCTCTGTGTTATTTACAGGAAACCAACACGGTTAAGGACTTCTACAGCGATGGAGACCTTGTCATGAGTGTGTTTGCGCTCTTTCTTGCAGCAGCAGCAGTCACGAGTGATGCCTTGCTCTTCAGCCTTGTGCTGATGGCTAAGCATCCCCACATTCAAGGTATACAGATACAATACACACCTGCAGAAATTAGGGATTTCTATGAGCTCTACCAAAAATCACACAGAGAGGAAACTCCTCCAGTTTATGGGTGGAAATAATTCAGGGTTGTAGGAGCTACTCTACTTTCACTAGAACCAGCTGGATCCTGGGGCAAAAGACATGGGGCAGTCCCTGGTGGTGGGTGAACTTACCCCAAGTGAATTTATTCTTTTTACACAAAGAAACAAATTCACCCATACAAGCTTGAATTTGAGTTCTCCTTTAATATGACCTCTTACTCCATGTATGCAAAATTTAGTGTATGTCCAATATCAAAGCACACTTTATGAGCTGTGGTTTGGAACTGTGAAATGCAGCATGAGGTCACCCACCACCAATTTATGTACCCCCTTCCTGATTGTGGCCTGTCTGTGTGATGGATTGCCTGTACACAGAGGAGGAAAGAGGGACCCACAAAGCCTTCCTTCTCATTTATAATCAGAGTTATAGTGGTGACAGCAATAAGGGAAGCAATTGTAGACACATTGGATTGCTTAACTGCTAAAACAATCTATCCACAGCCAGCAGAAGCTGTGCACAGAAAGGGCACAGCTGTGACACAATCATTTCCATTTGCAATAACTCAGTCCAGGCTGGCTATTAAGATATTATGAACAGACAGGTTTGACCAATGTGCTGACTAATTACAAAGTTTGGTAGTGACACTGAATGTATTTTTACATAGAGCAGACCCATTGAAATGAAAGGGAGTTGAAGTCAGTTGGGAGGAACTCTCTGTAAGGCTAATCCTTACAGATACCATCAGATACAACCTATAGATTTGGAATTAGAGAAATATGAGCCAAGGAAATTATTTTGAAGTGCTCACAGTCCTTCCATACAAATCTTTGCCAGAAAATCATCCAGAGATCTACTGGTTCATCAGATTCAGTGTAAATTCGCTGCTGCTCAGACTATAAGGTTTACATGAGACTTCTGCAGTATACAGAATTATGTTTGGGACAGAAAGAAGTTCTTCACTTCACATCTCAGTATTCAGCTGAGTGGCAAAGGGTACTGGATCATAGTGGTTCCCCGCAAGCTAAACTCTACTGGTTCCTTCAGTTGTTCTGAGTGTGCAGTTGGGTGGCTGGGTGGTATATCAATTCAGTTTTCAGGATGCGCATTGAAAAATGCAATAAAATCAGAATAAAAAGAGCTATGTTGGATCAGACCAAACATCCACATTACTTAGTATTTTCTATCCAACTGCGGCTAACATAACTGTGAATGTCTCTGGAAGTTTCCAAGCAGGACATGAAGACTAGAACCTTCCTATATTCATTGTTGGTTTGGAGCATCAGGATTAAATATGGACCGCTTCTCAACATGCGAGTTCCCTTCAGTTATCATAGCTAATATTTATAGCTTTGTCCTACTCTTTAGCTCTTTTTAAAATGCATTTAATCTGGAGAAGATACAGTAGCAGTAAATTACAGATTGGTTATGAACAGTGTCAAGGCACACATTCTTTTTTCTGTCGTGAACCTTCTGTCAATCCATTTCTATTTTTGACTCTACTGTAATTTTCAAAGAGTACAAAACTTTTTTTCCACTCCATTCATAATTGCATCTGATGGTGGGGAGCATATACAATTTTTCCCCAATTATCATTTTCCAATCACCAGTCATCATTTTTCCAAGCTAAAAAAGTCTGAAATGCTTTAGGAAAATAATTAAGATAGAATAGCTTACTTCATGAAACAAATTCCAGAGGGGAAAGTGTACATTTCGACCATATCTTGCACCTCTGTATGCCATTTCTTAAAAAGGTCTCCAGTCCAGAGGGGTAACTGGGTAGGAACCAATCTAAATTTTGCTTCAGTTGTAAGATTAGCATCATCTCAGAAAGGAGGACGTGTTAGAATTCAGGAACACATCTTCTGAATGTTTTGTTACAGCAAAAGTCCAGGAGGAGATTGATGAGGCAGTGGGTACCATGCGTCTCCCCTGCTCAGAGGACCGGAAGAGGATGCCCTTCACTAATGCTGTTGTGCATGAGTGTCAACGATACCAAATATTTAACCCTGAGATTCTTTCACGTAAAGTGACTTGTCATATAAAATTCAGGGGCTACAGCATCCCTAAGGTAGGATTAAGGAACGACCTGCAAGAATGAAATGGAAACAATTGCTCACATGTTTGCTCACATCACCCTGGTGATGCAGAAGAGCTCAGCTATGCTAACATTTTGTAATAATTTGTTATGTACTTTGCATGTATTAATATTACTCTGACACTTGGATTCAAAAGCAGACAGTGCCGGATGTTGGGACTAAACTATAATATTCCTTTCTAAAAGAAAATGCTATTTTTTCTTAAGTAATTGTGTTACGTATCAGAGCAGGATTAATAAACGCCATTGCGTTTCCCACAGTTATGATTCAAGTGAGCTTAACATGGGAAACAGTGTCCTCTTCTCCCTTTAGGTCATTTCAGCAAGGTCAACAATTGCCTAATTGTACCTCTGCTCCAGAATCCATTTGGATAATGAAACTCCTCAAATTAAACTGGAAGGAATGGACAGGAGGGTAGTGTAAGTTCATGGAAAAATAAAGGAATCTCCCAGAGGAACTTTGCTCATCCCTAGATAACAGCAACACTCAGTGTGAACTAAATGTGCTCCTCCATTTTATCTTTCTCAAAACTTGGCTGTTTCTATGGCTTTTGCTCAGATATCCCTAAGGTTGAAAGGAGTAATGTAACCTGTCTCCTCCTCTCCCTGAAGGGCACCACTGTCCTTCCGCTGCTCACATCCGTGCATTATGACCCTCTGCAATGGGAGACTCCAGAAAAATTTAACCCAAACCATTTCTTGGACGAGAAGGGCCATTTCAGGAGGAGGGATGCCTTTATGCCCTTTTCAGCAGGTAACTTGCTTCATTTTGATGTTCTCCAACTTCCAAGCTAGTAAATAGGCATACTGTGTTCATGTTTACTATTTAGATTCTCACTTCTCACTCTCTTTCTCTCCCTCTCAGGAAAACGGTCATGCTTGGGGGAATCACTGGCTCGGATGGAGCTCTTCCTTTTCTTCAGCATTTTACTCCAGAAATTCACCTTCCAGATGGCTGGAGAAGCCAAAAACATGGATCCATTTTCTTTGTTTCTTGCATATAAAAGAAGGAAACACCCCCAAATGGAAGCCATTAGACGCTCAGTGTGACCTTGCAATTGAAAATTGTCAATTGCAATTGAAGGAGGAAGGAAACCAGTGGCTCCAGATATATATTCCTAGTAGGGGAAAACAGAAATACTGAGAGACTGTTTTCTTTAGTATTCCATTATTCCCAGCTTCATGTAAGAGGATGAGTGTTATGGTGATGTTGTGGTGGCAAACAGGAAGAGATTCTAAGCTGTTCCTTTCTTTCCTAACTTTGATTCAATTATTCTCTTGTATTAATTAAAATGCTTCACATAGTGAAGTGTTGGAAATGCATTCATTTGTCGAAGCAGTTCTTGCCTCTTGTTGCAAGCGTTGTCCTTTTCTCTAGGTAGGAATGTGGAAATATCAATATTTGAACTGGCTATGGTTCCCGAGCTTCATCTTGCAGCTTGGTCTGACTTGCTGCCCATGTTAGATTTATTTTTGCTTTTCACATGAAAACAGAACACATTAATGTATGCTTGATCTTGGGAATGTGCAAACTTTGATTTCAGATTGCACTGACATTCTCAGATGCCAGAGGGGTAAATATTGGTTATAAATAAACTGAAAAAATCCTATACATCTTTATGTCTAGATAGTGTTCGGTCTAATATATGCTGCTCTTTGATATTAATTCATCTGCAAAGAAATGACTGCATCACATTTAAACAAATAAGAATTTGCAAAATAAAATTCACTATTAGGCATGGCTCAGTTTATCTGCATTCCATGTTACTTTCACAGGTGCTAGTTCCAAAGTTAATTCTATCTCATTTAAGCAGCACTCAGGGAACAGTTGGTAGCAGAGGGGGCAGCAGGAGTGGATATCCTCCTGCCTCAGCAGTGAAATATCTTGCACTCCTTCTGAGAATTGCAAAAGAGGATGTAAAAGAGTGAATTATTCAACTAATTCATGGAGGGTTTGGCTTTCAAGGCAAGCTGTGGGATAAATATTTATCTTCTTGAGAACCAGCTGATAATGAAAGCGGTCTTTTCGCCACTGAGGCCTCAGTGTCAAACATGGGTGCCTTCAGCATTTAACTTCTTAAACCACTCCCTAGATTTTGCAATATTTGTCTATGCTTAGGAAAATCTTAATCTCCTAGATACATATGTGCATCATTTCAGTTTCATTGTTCACTTGTTTACTGTATCAATTTCTACTCCACTTCTCCTCCCAGAGTAGTCCTACTTGTCATCTTTCAGGCCAGTCACAAACAGCTAGTGTTATGAGCCCTCTGTTACCCTGGATGCAAGCTGAGAGAACGTGTCCTTCTCTGGATGGCAAAACTGTTGGGCAGCCCCTCATCTCACAACAAGCATTTTTATTTTATTTATGTCCAAGCAGTCCGCTTTCTGCTTTTGCGTCTCATTATTTCCCCTTAAAAATACCCTTCAGCTTGGACATGAGGCTTAAACATGAGTTTCCAAGAGAGGTTTTTCTACCTACCTGCCTGGCCACCTGGTGCAGCTACCTCTCTTTACCTTGTGAACCTCTGAGGAAGGAAAAGTTGCTCAGGTTGTCTGACCAGGATGACGAGCAGTCTCAGCAGGTGGCGACTCATCTCATAGTGATCACTCGCTTGTACCACTGGGGTACCAATCCAAGCAGGCTCAGAGTGAAAAAAATGGTGTGTGTGTGTATGTGGTGGGAGGGCGGGGGGTTAGAGGTAGCAGTAGCCTAACATCAGGTAAACACGTGATGACTGCCCATGATCTCACAGGGCAGCTGTAGCTTGGTGAATGTTGCAGGGGAATCTCCTCTCTAGTCAGCTCAGTTCCAAACAGGAGAAGGTGGCACAGTAAGCTGTGAGGTGAAAGTGGTCCTAAGCACTATTTCACTATTACAAGAAAGGGGAAAACTAACTTTCCCACTTGCTCATTCCCATGAAGCAAGACAAAGACAAGCATTGGCTTGTTATAAAAATGCCCCCTGATGCCATAACAATCTGTTTCTCAAGTTTCTCTACACTTCTGGATTTTGGTTACATGGATGGAAGGCTAACCTCCTCCTCCATCACCACTTTTATTCCCTAAGGCTGCCGTTCTATGTGCTGCCATCTAGGAATCCTGTTGAATCAAATAGGAGACAAATAAACATCCATAGGATTATATCACACACATTAAAATAAAGGCATTTTTGTATCGATCCAGTTCCTGATGGATGTATACAAGCATTACATGATGATCAAAGGGTGGCTTGATCACTCCCTTCTGAGCTCCACAACTATCCTCTCCAGAGATACTTGAAATAGCAGATGTTATGTACTCCCCAAAAGCTTATGCCGAGGAATTTAGGTTTTTACAGGGCCAGGGATCTATTAGAATACTCATAGCATCTTTTTAATTCTCCTCATGCCCACCCACAAGAAGTGACAATAATATTCTGTGATAAAAGTCTGAACCAGAGACTTGTCTGATTATCTTTTTAATTATATTTTGATGCAGAAGTAGACTGATTGTCTATTAGAATCAGTATGGTATGGTTGTCACAGAATCTTTTTACTCAGGCATATTCTAGGAGAATTATGGTAGCAACTGTGTCTCCTAGGAGTTCTGTAAAAGAAAGACTTCAAACAGAACAGAAGCCTTGCAGTGCCGCCTTCACTTGTAACCATCCCAGGCTTGTTGCTGCTAGATGGAGATTTAGGGTGGAACGGTGGGGTTATTCAGAAGCTGCTGGTGATTTCTGCCCATTCTTTTTGTGAACCAGGGCCTGGTACCATGAAGAACCGCCCAATTGTAGAGATAACCCCAGAGATCCTGGAATATAAATTAGAATACACACCAGATCTCCGGTGTGAGAAGCAGACAGACTTGGTGCCGATCTGCCACAGCTGCAAGTCCTGCATCTTGAAATGGAAGATGTTCTCCACCCGCGAGTGGTTTCTGAGGGTGAGCCAAGCTTCCCAGAGGCAGTTCTTGGTGGGGATAATCAAACGGTTCAGAAGCCAGGACCTCCTGAATTATGCCTGGAACCTGCTACAATCCACCAACACCAAGGACTTCACCTATTCCCGGTCCTGCGTCAGCTCCAGCTTCACAGCCGCTTCTATCTCGAACCGGGGGCTGGATCCGCAGCAACTGGAGCACTCCATGGTAAACCTCTGGAGGTGGTTCTTAAATGCCAGTTTTTGGACCAAATCCAACTACATCTTGCTTTTGCTGCAGATGTGTGATGCACAGCTGCTGCTGATGGCTGCCAGCCTGATTTGTAGCCTCTTGAGCAAAGGTAAGATCACCACAGAGGTGGGGCCAGGTAACTCTGCAGTGTGTGAGCGGACGGCAAGCGCGATATCAGACACTCAGTCAGGCATTGCATGAATACATGGTGGAAGCAGTGGGACAGCTTCCTTTATATTTGTCCTCACCCCTACATGGGCCAGCTTTCTAGCTGCTGATGTTCAGCTACTACAATTCCTGAAGAGTAAAAGCTGAAGAGACTGTACCAGTATCTTTTGCCCAGAGATCTGCTGGCTTGCTAACATTCATAGATTCACTAGCAGAATAGGGTATTAAGAGTGCAATTATGCCTGTCTCCTCAGATTAAAGTTCCATTGAGTTCAATGGGACTTATTCCCAGGGAAGTCTAAACAGCAGTTCAGCTTAAATCTAGCAGACAATATCAAAGAGTGTCAATGGGACCCTGCCATATAACTGATTCATTTGTGGTTACAGATTTTTACTCCAGTTAGCAAAGAGCATGGATGCCATGCTTCTGCCATACTGTTGATGCGGCACTTTGTTTACAATGGTGGTAATTTAAGTGTGTCATGCACCCACTTCATACACAACAGGGGTGGACAGCCTTCTGTCAAGGGGCCTTTCCCTCAGGGGTTCCTACCAAAACCATACAATGCCAGTGGGCACAGCTGAAGTCAGAATTGGACAGGGACAAGGACAGAAGTGGGTGTGCTGCTGCTCCTCACTTGCTTTTCCTGCCACTCTTCTTTCTCTTGCCACCACCCCATTTCTTCTTGCTCCCTCTTCTTTCCCATGCATCTGGCTGTCAAATAAGGTTCCAGAGCATATGAACTTAGGGAGCTGTCTTACATCATACTAGGGCCACATGCTGCCCTGGGGCCACAGGTTCCCCACCCTGATATGCCCTCGTATCCTAGGAGTAGTGTGGATAGGGGGCGGGAGGAGACATCCTCTTAAGTCTTTGTACCGGGTACGGCCTGTTAGGTAGTCAAGGCTAGGCACGGCCAGGCCCCTGCCAAGGGCCCACAGCCTGGCAAAAGCTCACTGCCAGGGTCCCTGGGACTTGCTCTTCCTCTTTGCCATGGCGGTCTCCTTGTTCACCTGCTTCTTGCTCTGGTCCAGGCAATGGTGGTGGTGAGAAGGAGAAGCAGCAGATGCCACTGCGTGGTGGTTTTCCGCCCGTCAGGTGAGCATGATGAGGAGCAAAAGCGGGTGGTGACTATGCTGGGGAGAGGGGGGACTCACTGAGGGAGGGCCCCATGGAGGGCGCCTTGCCCAAAGGTCCCCAGAAACCTAAGGACGGCACTACCCTTGTCCATGAAGAATTACAAGTAAGAGCTGCTTGTGGACTGGACCTGTACATAAAGAATGACCTGCAAACAAGAAACCCATGAAGTACCCAAATGACAAACAGAAGCAGGTCTGTAGGTTGTGCTGGATTATAAAATGAAGACAAGTAAATTGTGTGGTGCTCTTGCATCATGTCAGAAGCTGTTCCTTTCTCATAATGTGATTCCCCAAATTAAAGATTCAGTAGTACCATTCCATATAGTCCTGGTTGGTTTTCAGACTTCAGAAACTGAGAAGGATGCTGGCAAGTTGGAAAGAATCAAAAGTGTAACTCCAAGGATGATGAATGCCATAGAAAATAAATCATGCAAGGCAAAAGCAAAAGAGGGGAAAATATCTTGGATAATTTCAAATCTTTTAGAGCTAGTTAGGATGAAGAGGCAGAGTATGAGGGCAGGTTATATTCATGTATGTGCGTGCATGCATGTGTGTGTGTGTGACATTAAATGCATCTTTGCCATTTTTAACACAACTTCTGGGATTAGCTGGCTAATAATCAAGAATATGGCAGGCCTAGGGGGGAAGTGGAATAATTTCCTTTCCTTTTACTATCTTAAGGGTAACTGCTCCGCTGAAAATGCTCTTTTCATTAGAAGGGATTCTGGCCATGCCTGCTACATTCCTGCCAGTTATCACCCACCCACCTGATGCACAAACTCACTTCTAGCACTTGTTTGCATTTTTTTAAAAATATGGTTAAATGTGCAGTCATTCAACATTGCAGCTAGTTTGGTCCCGAGAGTAGGGCAAAAAGCATTGGGTATATAAGAGTGGTTCAGCAACAGAATAAGGAGGTGGCATGACAGAACCTTTATCCATGGAGGTTTCTGAGAAAAGATTGGAGAGGCATATGTGGTGCAGTTCGTTTATCCAGAGCATAATGCATTCAGCTACAGACAGGGCAAGCCAATCCATCTTCTGTTTCTACTACTCCATATTACTACTTTGTCAATGGAATGGAGGGTGGTGATCATGAGCACGTAGAGATGTCTCAAGCAGATGGTTCTCCATTTCTTTCCCTGTATCAGAGAGAATTCAGCTCTCTTTTTCTGAGGATAATGTAGCTTTTGGGCTTTGTACACATTTAATTCCAATAATTTGATGAAAACCATAGGATTCCGTTAGCAAACTTAAAAGCAGATAGAACTAAGTCAGTGGACCCTCAGGCTCACATGGATTAATTCCAACATGTCTGATGCCTCAGTTTCACCTCCATTTGGCATCTTCCTTACAGTTTTAATCTTTCTACTCCTGCCAGGTATGGACCAAACAGAAGATGTTAAATTTCCTCCAGAGGAGCCAAACAATTCTGAGTCCCAGGCTCTGAGCCAGATTCCATCCCAGGCCACTGGCTTTTCTTCAGGCATTGAAAACTACCTCACTTCTGAGAAGAGCAGCTTATTTGGTATGATTTGATTTTACATAGATCTATTTGTTGCTTTGAATATGCAGATTCCTTCATGAACTTAATACTCTTTATGACAACCTTATGAGGCAGTACTATTTGCACTTTGCACAGATGGAATCAAGACGCAGTGCAGTTAAGTCCAAAACCCAGTTTGAATATGTGTGGCTTGGCTACCTTGGTTCTCATCCAGCCTGATTTCCATGCTGATTTTATTTCTGCCTGATGTCTGTGATGAATGTGAAGAGCACATGGAGGTGGGTGCTGGCAGGAACAAGCAGAGGGATGGAGCACCTTATGGTGTCAGAGCATTTGAGATCACCTGGTCGGAGCTCTTCCATCTAACACGCATAAGAGGAACGTGCAATGCAGAACTCAGGGCCACCTTCCCTGTCCTCGGGCCCTCCAGATGTGTTTGTCTGCAGCTCCTCTTATCTCCAGAAGGCATGGCCACGGATGCCCTGCTAATGCTGTCACAGGACTTGCCTCTGTTTCTGTGTCGCGCTGCTCTGTTAACTCGGTATAGATGATGACGACGACGACGACGACGACAAGGGTATTTTTATCTTGCCCCTTGGTAAAGCAACCTGGCAAGTTAGAAAATATGCACATGCTTTCTGTGTGATTTCCACAACAACCCACTGTTCTTGGCAGGGCTGAGAGATTGTGACTGGGCCAAAGTGAGCCAGTGGCATGGTGGCAAAGTGAGGGACGGAACCCGTGTCTCTGCGGTCTAAGGCTTTTCCCACATGGAGCCCCTGTATTATTTATTTATTTGGAACATTTGTATGCCGCCCCATTTGCAAAAAGCCTCGGGGCGGCTTCCAAAACAAATAAACAATTATACAATTACCTTAAAAATCTGGAAACATCTCGGCACAGGTATAAAATCAATGAATACAATCAACAATTCAAATAGCATTTAAATAAAAAGGTCTTGGCCTGGCGCCGAAAAACAAATAACGACGGCGCCAGGCAGACCTCTCTGGGGAGCGCGTTGCATAAGTTGGGCGCCACCGCAGAGAAGGCCCTCCTCCGAGTACTCTGTCTCCTAATATCTTTCACGGTGGGTTCCCGGAGAAGGGCCTCTGCCGCCGATCTCAAGGGGCGGGTGGGCATATATGGACGCAGTGAGGCAATGTCTGGTTGTCTGCAGTCTTGCAACTCTAATCCGCACAAGCACCATTTCTTAGTGACTCTAGCAGGACTTTGCACGCGCACGAGAGGGACAGTCCATGACCGCATGTGTCCAGGCACCATTTCTCTTGCCTCTCCCATCGTCCTGTGCCCCACCTACACTACCTTTGTGCCCTTCTGGCCATGCATGTGGTGAATGCGACTTGACTGCGCATCCTGCTTTTCTAATACCGCTCCGTCTATAACTATCTTACTGCAAAGTATGGCTTTTCAGAATTCCTTCATTTAGAAATACAGAGACACAGCTTTTCTTCTGCTAATGCCCTGTTCAGCTTCCCGACAAACATAGCTGCTAGACAGGGGTCCTGTTCTCAACACCCCATGTTTCACCTTAACTAAGTTATCTGGCATATTTTATTTTTAATTGATTATTACCATTACATTTCTTTTATATTCTGCCTTCCTCCCTCAGCTTACTGTGTTCTCCTCTCAGTTTTATCTACACAACAATAACCCTGTGGGTTAGGCTGAGAATCCGTGAGTAACTCAAAGTCACCAAAGGGAGTTTCACGGCTAGGTGGAGACTAGAACCCAGATCTCCCGAGTCCCTGCCCCACACCCTTAACACCACACTGGCCTTACTTTAGTTGACATTACCTGTGAAAGTCCTTTCTCCTGGAATGCCACTTCCATCTGTCCATCCCCTGCAAAGATAAACCAGTGACCTCCGCACTAGGTTTCATGCTGATAATTCTTTGTGTGCGTGTGTGTGTGTGTGTGTGTGTGAATTTTGTTCTGTTTAAACGTGCAAAGGATTCCACCCTAAGTCGATGCTACTGCTGTCTTGAAGAGTCCAAAGGAGATGTGTCTCCTTTGGAAGGAGTGCCTAGATTTTTCTCCTTTTCTGCAGCACTTTGCTGCTATAGAGAAACAAAGCCTCCTGCCACCACACTGCATCACCACCACTGCAAAGCTGCCTCACACCCTTTCAGACTTTTAAATGTGCAATCCTTGTGCAAATCTGTTCCTCTACAATGCCACTAAGAGACCTGATTTAAACAAACAAAAAAGCAAGGCAAACTAGTGTATCAAGAAGGTCAGTTCCATTGCTAAAGACTATGTATTCTGCGAGTAAAACAGTGTAAGAAACAATTATGGTCACGACCTCCTGCACATTTGGACAAAGAGAACTTTTCCGTGCTAGGTGAGGAATGCTGGGAGTCGTAGCAGCTTTTTCTGTCTAAACATCCATAGATTTATGCCTTCAGTGGCTGCTAAAGCCAGAGGTTGCCGAAGGATATTGGTTTACAACAGGAAATATGAAGCCAGCAATCAGGAAAGGACGGCCCCCTCCAACTCCTCATTCACTTTCCCCAGGGACAATTCCTCTCACCCTGCGATTTTCCTGCAGTTTACTATCCAGGCCATCAAAGAAAATGGGCAGCTGTTCTGCTTATTCCCTCCTTAATGGCTATCGCACACTGAGCGAAAGGTCTGGAGGACTACTGGGGAAACACAGGCTCTTTGCAAAAGGGCTTCTCCATCTGGGTAACCCATGCGATGGAGTGAAAGACTCATGGTGCTTCCCTGTCTGGAAAAGCTGCAAGTCCTGTGCTAGAGCTTCGACACTATGCTAAGTACAGACCAAAACAATGAATGGAACTGGATGAGCTCAGCATCCCGCAGAAGTAGGACCCCCTCCCCACCAGGGTTTTCGATTATATGAATTTTGAAAATACAAGGCGTAAATCCAATCACGAACCAGTGTCCTGATCAGACTAAGCCGTATGTCAGAGAAGGCAGTGATGGGAATGGTTGGCGTTCAGGTGTTCAGGCCATTCAGCTGGGATGGGATGGCTCTCCCGATAAATAATCAGGTTCTCGGTCTGGGGCTGCTTATTGACCCAGCACCATCACTGCAGGGACAAATAGCCTCACCTGCCTCAGCATATAGAAAACTTCCTTGATGTTTGGAAAAACAAGCACACTTTTTTTCCCCCAGAAAAATCCTTTTGCTATTCTGCAGCCCTGTGATGTGTCAAAGCACACACAAAAACTTGAGATAGGTCGATGTCTGTGTCTTGGTGAGGTTGTGTGACTCAGGTTGTGGGAGATCTGGGTTCCAGCCCTGACTCAACCATTGAACTCACTGGGTGACTCACAGAGCTGTTGTGGTGTGGATGAGAAAAGGAGGACCCTGTAAGTCGCCTTAGAATCCTTGCAAGAGGAAGAAATGTGAGGTATGAATGTAATGTAACAATAAATGAAGGTTCTGGTCACTTTAGAAGGCAACCTACTTTGCGTTGGGGAAACTCAGAATCTCTCTGGAGCAGAGATCTGACTTGGGCGTCATACAAATCTTAGGTGCACCCCTAGTTTAAACCTCCATTCCCCAACCTGCTGCCCATCCAGACATACTAGACAATCATCCCAAGCAACATTGTAAGTCTGATTTAAGCATTAAGTTATGCCATTTCAGCAGAGCACTTTAGACACAGTTTTTCCTTTAACCAGGCCCCCAGGTCTGTGTCCATTCATATACCATCTGCATTTAGCCTGGGTTTTCTGCAGGAAAGGGCAATTCTCCTAAACATAACAGTAGCGACCTGTTGTGCTTCACCCTCCAATCAATTTCAGTCTATTAGTGTTTCCTTGCTGATCATTTTTATTGTTACATAAAGCCTCTGTGCATACACAGAATGAACTGTTGAGCTCTTTCTGACATTCATTACCCCAAACGCCCTTTACGAACTCTTCTGCTTCTCTCCCTTGCAGGAGGAGTGCTGTGAAAGTGGGCACAGCTCTGCCCTGCCTGCTGTGTACCTAACTGGACTACTCTCTAATGAGGATATCTAGCGATCGGGTCTGCCTCTTCAGGAGGTGGGAGCTCCCCACTGGAAAAACTACCTATTTCAATGGCCCCTCCATCAGGAGGCTGCAGCTCCTCCCTGTTCCCACAGCTGAGTAGAATGACCCCTTCATCTGTCCTTGGGCTAATCCACCCCCCAATATCTATTTCCTGCAGAGCCCACAACTGGGGTTTGAACCATTTCGCCAACAGTCTCATCTTTGGAATCTGAGTTGCCAGTCCCACCCAGCTGAGTAGCTCCCCATGCACGCATATGAGACCTGACAGGACACACACGCACAACACTGCCAGCCCAATGACCCTGTCAACATCCCAGGGTCTGATCAAGACGGCCTGGTGCATTAGCTCCGTTTCCGACAAAGCCCTCGTCTGTATCCAACAAATATATGCAGAGAGCTCTTACTCAGAGGCACAGTCGGCTTGGTCAGCTGTATTCTGTGTGCTGCAAAGATGCAGAAGGTGAGTGCAAGCTCTGTTCTTCTCATCATATACCATTTGCTGGCTTCTGTGTCCTTGCCACAGATAATCTACATGCACCGTGGCTTTTGTCCAGAGAGTCAGATCAGCTGTTTGGAATCCCATTGGAGGATGTGGACCATCCCAGTCAGTATTCAGTGGTATTGAATGTCTCACCCCCTGTGCCTGGCCCTTCCCAGAAGACCGTCAGCGTGAACAAGTTCAGAGATTTCATTCGCTGCCTGCCCATCTACCTGTCTAAGCGCATCTTGCGTAAGGATTTCTTAACCTCCTCACAGTTCCTCAGTGCTTCTTTTTGTGCCAACACAGATAAATGCATTGCTCTTTGTGATCTTCCAGGCATGCTGGATTCCAAATCTCTGACCAGATGTGCCTATGTGAGTCTACACTGGCTGTTCCTGGTCAAGCAAATTAGGAAGGACATCCTAGCGGGTCATTCCCTCCGAAGTGAGATTGCATTCATGCAGGTAGTGTGAGATGCTGCGTTGCCCTTTTCAGTGTGGAGCAGGAGCAGAGAACTGCCATGTAGGACCAGCAGGGACCTCTGTTACTTCACCAGCTACAGGGCTTCCTGCCCAGTTTGAACTACAGTGGTATCTCAGCTCGTGAATGCCTCAGTTCACAACCAAATTGGGTCGCGAACAGAAATTTAAAAAAAAATTCCTCAGGTTGCTAACTCTGCATCGGGTGACGACTGCAATCATGCCCATCTTCCCTGCACGGGTGTGATCATGGTTGTGCTCGGGGGGGTGGGGGAATGACTGTGATTGTGCCCATCTATGGCCGCAGACAGGCTCCTGCAGGGAACATGGGCACGATCGTGGTCATGCTCGGGGGGGCAAGGGGGAGATGGCTGTGATTGTGCCGGTCCTCCTTGCCCAAGCACGACCGCGATTGCCCCGTCTATGGCTGTGATTGTGGTCTGGCTCGTGCAGGAAACACGGGCATGATTGCAATTGTCCTTGTGGGGGGGGGGGGGAATAGCCGCGATTGTGCTCGGGGGGTGGGAGAGATGGCTGCAATCACACCCATCCTCCCCACCCACGCGCGACCGTGATCGCCCCATCTATGGCAGCAATCAGGGTCACTCTAGCGCAGGGAACATGGGTGCAATTGCGGTCATGCTGGGGGGGTTGAGATGGCTGCTATCGTGCTGGGGGTGGGGGGACATGGCTTCAATCTTTGTTGTTCTTTGTCACTTTGCTTCAAATTTTTGTGACTAAAAAAAAAAAAAGTTACAGAACGGATTAACCTTATTTACATTGAACCTTATGGGGAAATTTGACTTGGCTCATGACCAATTTGGGTCGCGACCAGAGTTGTGGAATGGATTAAATTCATGAACCAAGGTACCACTGTACTGCCCTTCTCCTCCAGCTGAGAGTCCTGTTTGACATGCTGTGACCGCTCTTGTATGTGTGTGGCGGGTGGGAACATATCTGTATTTCAGGCCACAATGGCAGGACATATTTGGTGAATTGTTCCTTTGCATCATGTTCACCTGAAAGAATGGATTTACACTGGTAATACTGCTTGTTGACTTTGAATCTGCCAGTTCTTCCTATGTTCCTGTGCTTATTCTTCCTCTGTTTACTCATATATTGGATTGATGTGAAAGTATAGATGTGTGTGTTCACTTATCACTCTGCTAACACTAAAAACAAGGACAAACTTTTCACAATAGCTTCACATTCAGATACTTTGTTCCAGTAATAATCAAATGGCATGCTGGATCATCTAAGAAAGAGAAAACTACCAGATGAATAGGGCATGGAGAGCATGTGGCCATGTTTAGCCATGCCGCACATTGATAAAAATGAGAGTGGAATTCCTTGGTTAGCATAACCCAACCCATCTGCATATATTTTGTTGAATAAAGAGACATTGCATGAGCTGGTCTTCTTTAGTATGGGATAGCCTGGGATTACAGGGCAATCCAGCTATGCTTACTAATTTTAGACAACAAGAGGAAGATACATAGGCATTTTAGGGCCATCTATGAGCAAGGGATGACAAGGAGCTTACAATTTCCATATTATATTTTCATTAACTAAACCTGCATACAATTTCCAAGGGTGTATCCATCTCTTTCAAATGTGACATGGGGAGCTTCATTAGGTTATTCTGTGCCAGACGTCACTCATTATATGTCAGCTACTTGTTTTTTTGTTTTGTGATAGACTGATGCCTCTCAAGGAAAGTCGCAGCCCAGACCTCCCTGCACCACCAACTAAATGTGCTCAGGGTATGGCATGCAACAGTTGCCAAAGGTGGTTCTGCCCACCCAAACAGAAGCTGATAAATACCCTGTCTCAGTTGCAGGCCCATCTTTTCAGCGGCAACGTCTATATTCTGCATTATAACCTTGTGTTCTCTCTTTTCTGCTGCAGGGGTCATGCCCTAAAGGAGCAATTTCCAACTATGCCAAAATAGTCAAGGTTGCTGTACCTCAGATCAACAAAGATGGTGACATCATCCCAATCAAAGGCAAAAACAAGCTACTACCAAAGGTACATTGTGAGTGTTCTTCATTCCTGGAATTCCTTGGAGTGGAATTGAGTAGATGGTGGGATATTCCTGGGCTCCACTCAGTTATCTGCTACTGATTGCTTCACTTCTGTAGACTTTTCACCAGCAGGAACTTTTCATGGAGTATGGGAGGGGTGGAGCTATGCCAGCCTGTTTCTTCTTTCCAAGAAAAGGAATAATTGCCAAAGTCCACACAGCCTGTACTGGAAGTGTGTGTACCAGTCCTAGCACAGTCTCCATATTGCTTACATTTGGTTCCTCGTGGGCTTTTTTGGAAATGATTAAGCTCAAGTTCTACTTCCATCAGTTGAATTTGGAAGCTACCCATTTCTCTGAGTGCCCCCCTCACTACCACTCAACATCATTGCTCTTTGCTCTTTGCTTTAAGGAGTCCGAACTCATGCAGAAAGCTTATCACGGCCAAGAGACAGACATTGTGAAGTTAGAAGAAAGGAACATCTTCTGTAGCAGCTATAACGTCCGTGTTCTGGTAGACAGGTCTGTGTAATTGGAAAAATGCAGGTTTTCCCTCATGCTTCCTAGCTTTTCCCTCCTAGCTTTTGCCTCAGAACTGCTGTTTCACAGCACACATGGCCTTCCATTAACCCTCCAGGTTTTTCTCCAGGATTTTGGATATTTTAAAAATAGCGCACAAATACAACACTGTCCTTGGTAGCAGCATCCTAAGGGATATGCCCTTCCTCTTCCTTTGCCTTGAGGTTACATATCATCCATGGAGGACTTGAATGCCATCATTCTATACCAACCGGTATTGCAACTCCATGCAGAAAATGTGTGCTTATTAGGCACTCCCATGGATCATGGCCAGCATGGAAGAGTAAATAAGGGCTCGCATTTCAATATATTTTTTCTTCTTTCCAGCCTCAGACAGGGCTTCCTTATGGGGTCAGGCTTTTTAGCCCCTAAAGAAGAAGACACCAAATACCACCAAATTTTCGTTGCTTTGTGTCATTATTGTTACTGAAGCCTTGCAGTCATTGAAATCTGTTCTCTTTGAACTGATCAGTACTAGATGTCTTACACCCTAAAATCTAACTGTTTGGAATCTGTATACCCCACCAAAAATAGTAGCATAAGAAGCCAGATCTCTGGCATATCACATCTATTCATTGCTGCAACCCCTGCCAGAAGATCCTTAGAGTGCAAACATCCCAGTTATTATGGGAGGACAGAGAGGCATGTACACCAAGGTTGTACCCAAGTTGCTTGTACTGTAAGAAGCTCACAAAGCATGCTGCATGCAACAATAAGGTTGAAATGCCTCTTCTGGCAGTGAGGGATTCAAGCTAAAACATGCATCTGTTTTGGCCCGCTTCATTTGCCTCTGGCCTGCCCGCCACTGAAATGCAATCTCTGAGAGCTTCTCCAAAGTGGAATTCAGCCCTTAGGCTGAAAACAGCTTAATATTCCCACCCTAGACATAGGAGTCAATCTGGCTGCCAGGATCAAATGTTTTTACAGTGAAGGCTGCTGCAAACAGGACTCAAAACAGGCTCCGAAGGAGAATGTCACAATGGCCTTGCTGGGATTAGGCAGATGTGGGTTTGGATTGGAGTCCATCTGGGATCCCTGTGACAGCTGCCATGAATTCCACCACTGGAGAAAGGCACGGTATCAATGACATAAATACAGTAAGTGTATCAAAATAAATCAGGAGCTCACTGTTGCTTCTGTTTTCTCTCCAGTGTGGATCCCAACAGAGTGGTTCACTACAGTGGTGGAAAGCTGTTGGCCTTTGGTTCTACAGACCGAAAAATCCATTTTCTGAACGTGAATGACCTGAAGCCTGTCCCTCCTCTCCTCTATGGACATGCTGGTAGCATCCGGGCTGTGTACCTCAATGAGCCGAAGGGATTTCTTCTGAGTGGCAGCTATGATCTCAGCATTAGGTAAGCCATGCTGCTCCCAGTGTGTTTGGGTAGCGCCAGCCAAGTGTGGGCAGATGTCAGGCTTGCAGAGCCTATTTGGTTTTTTACTAGAACCCCAAGACTAGAGGTGTGGTATATTCTTCTTGGACAGTCATCTGAGTGGGATTGTGTAAATTGGTGTCCTGCAACAGCAGGGGGTTGGACTCAATGGTCTTCTTGGCCCCTTTGAACTCTATTGTTCTATGATTCTCTATTTAGAATTAAAACCTTATGGGCCCAGGAAATTGTTCTGGGTATCAGAACTGAACAGAACTCATAGTCCTTGCTCCTCCTTACTGTAAACTTTCCTTGTTTTGGCAGTATAATTTTGGGTTGGGTTGCTGCTACTGTGAAGCATTTGGAAGTCTGAAATCCTTATTGATCTAATGTAAATCACCCGATATATATCTTTCGATTCCCTCTGCACTAGGCGTAATCTGGAAATCATGTTATGCTCACTTTCTATTGCAATCAATGTCATTTAAGTGCTTAAACATGCCTCACTTAGTATTATACCCCTTGATTTTAAATTGGTTAAGGTAGGCTATTTGGCATGTACATCTAAGAGGGAAACCCACCAGTAGAACATGGGAGTGATGCAGGAAGCAGGCAGATCACAGAGCATTGGTAGAGCAGGATAGTAGGCTTTACTACTGTCTCTGGGACTTGAATTGGCAAAGAAAGTTTGCCTTGCAGGACAAAATTCCACTGGTGGGTCGCCTTAAGAAAGGATTTGGGAATGTGTGTGTGAGGTCAGGACCCTGCTTTTTTCCACATCAGTCCTGCTGCCTTCTTCTGTTTTTCAAATCTTATCAAAATGGCAGTGATGACCAGTTTAGAGGTTCCCTGTCCAATATGAGCGGCAGGCTCAGCTGTTTGCTCTTAATTGATTTTGAGTCTCTGCTGCTGCTAGAAGGAGCCGTATACTTTAGATGACAGTCCCTGGAGAAAGCATGCATTTTCCTGCCTCTGACTTCAGAGTCTTTATACCATTAAAAAATAGCTCTGTTGAAGGAGAAGAAAGGGTCATTTTGACTTTTGATGTCGCAAACATTTCTAATAACTGAGAACTGAGCTCCTGAGCAAGCATCAGGATAGTAAATTAGGAGTTATAATCATATTAAACAACATTAACAACATTTATATACTGCCTTTCATTTCTGAATACTAGGGCACTTCACACAGTAATAAAATAAAATTCCATAAAATATCAGATCTAAAGCACCGGATCTCATCTGATCTCGGAAGCTAAGCAGGGTCCGGCCTGGTTAGTACTTGGATGGGAGACTGACTGGTAATACCGGGTGCTGTAGGCTTTGAGGCAGAGGCTGGGAGAGAGTGCTGAGGGTGGCCAGGGGACTGGCAAAGACAAGGTTAGAGCTGGGCAGAGGAGCAGAGAGGCAGGAGCAGCGGAGAGGAAGGGAGGCGGGGCCAGAGAGGCCAGAAGGAAGCAGAGGGGCGGGGCCAGTGACCTGTGAGACTTATAAGGCCGCACTCAGCCGGGCGTCATCCCTTGTCTGTGTCCCTTAGCTGCAGCCCGGGCTGCCCAGGGACTCCCTTCCCTGGGGGCAGGGTTCCCCCCCCTCCAATTTAAATTTTTATTTTATCCGTGTGTGTGTGTGGGGGGGGGTTGTCTGGGAGAATTGGGCAAGTGAGGAGTAGTGCAGGACAGACAAGGTGGGGGACCAAGGTAGGGTCTCTGAGGGGTTCCCAATGGCAGGCCAGGAGATGGCCTTGGCGGGAGTCACAGGTGTTGCTGTCCGCTGCAACAGCTGCAACTTGCTTGCCCTTCTCCCTCAGGAGTGGCAGGAATACACTTGTCCTCGGTGCAAGTTGGTGACCCTTCTAGAGGAGGAGGTGAGGTGCCTGAGGGCTGAGAGAGCTCTCAGGCCCTTTGGAAGCAGTTCCCCTCCCAACAGAGGGTTGAGGGAGGGGCCATGGGAGGAACAGCCTGGGAGACATGGAGGCATGTCACCCACAGGAGGAGGAGGCCAGCACGGCCTCCTCCTTCTCCTGGCACCAATCTGAAGCTGGGAAACTGGTTCTCTCCACTTGGGGAGGCTGGGGCTGATGAGGCCTCGGGGGACCAGCAGGACCCCCAGCCTGGGACCACATGCGGCAAGGGGGCCGCTGCAGGAGAGGTGAGGGCCAGGGCACGGCCACCTACCACCACTGGGAATAGACAGTAGTGAGTGATCGTAGTCGGGGACTCCCCGCTGAGGGGCATTGAGCGGTGGTGTGTTGCCCTGACCTTGAGGCGAGGAAGGTCTGTTGCCTGCTGAGCACACGCATCCAGCATGTGAAGGATAGAGTGGAGCATCTTGTTTGCTCCGGGGGTCACCAGCCACTCCTGGTGATCCATGTGGGCACAAACGATGCGGCCAGACAAGGTGTGGGTGGGATCACCAGGGACTTCAAGGCCTTGGGGAAGAAATTCAGGGTCCTTAAGTCCCAAGTGGCCCTCTCAACTATCTTACCAGTCCAGGGATTTGGGCCAGGCAGGGATAAGAGTGTCGCCTAGGTGAATGACTGGTTTAGGGTGTGGTGCCAGAAGGAATACTTCGGGTTCCTCAACCACAGCACCTGGTTTCTTGCCAATGGACTTCTGGCAAGAGATGGGTTGCACCTCACGAGGATGGGGAAAAGGTCCTTTGGAGATGCTCTAGAAAGCTTTGTCTGGAAGACTTTAAACTGAGCCGGGGGGGGGGGGGGGGTCAGGCCCCCCAGAAACTTGTCTACACTGGACAAGTGTGGGGAGAGGAGCAGGGCTCTGGGAGCAGGGTTTTAGAGGTACTGCAGGGACCGACAGGACTCCTACAAAGAGAGGGTCGGTATCAGGAAGGATGGGAGGAAGCAGGAGGCTGAGAACTCCAAAGAAAGGAAGCTGTGGGAAGGAGTTGGGGTGCATGTACACCACTGCTAGGATCATGGGTAATAAGCGGGAAGAGCTTGAAGCTCTCCTGGGAATAGGAGGGTATGACCTGGTGGGGATCACAGAAACTTGGTGGGATGAAAGGCAAGACTGGAATGTAAACATAGAGGGGTATCACCTTTTTAGAAAGGACAGGAAGGGAAAGAGGAGTGGGGGCATAATTTTATATGTCAGGGAAGGGATAGGATGCAGTGAGAGAATGCAGCACAGATGGGGATTCGGTAGAGGCAGCCTGGGTGAAACTAAGGGGTTTTGATAGGGAAAGAGACCTGACAGTGGGGGTATGTTATCACCCTCCAGGTCAACTTAAGACCCTGGATGATGTCTTGACAGATCAGATTCTAAGGATATCTCAGGGGAGGGACACAGTAATTATGGGAGAATTCAGTCTCCCGGATATTAGTTGCGAGACTCACTCAGTGGTGACAGCCAGGTAACGTCGCTTCCTAGAAGCTATAGAGGGAGGGTTTTTCACACAGAGCGACTGAGAGGTTACGGGGTGGGGGAACATCCTTGACTTGGTCTTGACCAACAAGGAGAAGCTGATAGATGAGGTACAGATTAGGGGAGCTCTGGATACGAGTGATCACTCCATCTTTTGCTTTGAGATCAGGGGACTGGGGACGTGCAGCAGGACGAGCACTAGAAGCTGGGACTTCAAGAGGGCCAACTCTGGCCAACTGAAGGCCAGACTGGGGAAAGTCTCCTGGGATAGGTTACTGGAAGGCAAGCGAGTTGAGGAGGGGTGGATGGCACTCAAAAGGGAGGTTTTGGAGGTGCAAGCCTTGACGATACCTCTAGTTAGTAAGGTGGGGAGGCGGAGGAGAGTGCCGTCCTGGATGCGAAAGGAGGTGGTTAGAGGGATTAGACAAAAGAGGAACCTCCGTAGGAAATGGGTACTGGGGCAAATAGACAAAAGGGTATACCAGGAGGAGGAGGCCCATTGCAGAAGGATTCTTCGCAAGGCTAAGGCTGATTACGAGCTGAGACTTGCCAAGAATATCAAGAGCAACAAAAAGGGCTTCCTTCAGCATGTAAATAGGAAGAGGAAGGGGAGACAGGTAATGGGACCGCTAAATAAGGAGGAAGGAGATCCAGTGACTGATATGAGGGAACAGGCACAGATGCTAAATGACTATTTTGCTTCTGTGTTCTCCCCAAAGCAGGACAGGGCAGATCTGCATGGGAGATTAGATGAGGCTGGGGACTTAGGGGCACAGATTAGAGTCACCCCCTTAGAAGTTGAGGGGCTCCTCAGGGCACTGGATGGTACAAAGGCTCCAGGCCCTGATGGGTTACACCCGAAGGTACTTAGAGAGTTGGCAGGGGTTCTCTCACACCCACTGGCTTCCATTTTTGAGGCCTTGTGGAGAATGGGTGAAGTTCCAGAGGACTGGAGGGTGGTGTCAGTGGTCCCAATTTTCAAAAAGGGTACTAGAAGGGACATGGGGAATTACAGACCAGTTAGCCTTATGTTCATTGTAGGAAAAACAATGGAAAGGCTCATAATAGAGAGATCTAGTGATGCTAGATAGGGAAGGGAGGCTGGTGGCCACACAACACGGTTTCCGCACAAACAGGTCCTGCCAGACAAACCTTGTGAAATTCTATGACAAGGATTCGAGATGGCTAGATGGAGGGGACGCAGTGGATGTGGTTTACCTGGATTTCAGCAAGGCCTTTGACAAAGTGCCCCATGATATCCTGGTTGAGAAACTGAGGAGTTTTGGGATAGACCAATGCACTCTCTGATGGATTAGGGCATGGTTGACTGACTGACTGAAAGTAGAGGGTAACCATTAGTGGGGAATCATCAGGACGATGGCCAGTGACAAGCGGGGTCCCCCAGGGCTCTTTCCTGGGGCTGATCCTGTTTAATCTTTTCATTAATGACATGGAAGAAGGGGTGAACAGTATGCTGATTAAATTCACAGATGATAGTAAAAATGGGGCAGTGGACACAACTGAGGAGCAGGTACTCCAGATCCAAAAGGATCTGGACAGACTATGGAAGTGGGCAGGAGACAACAGGATGGCGTTCAATGTGGATAAGTGCAAGGTCTTGCACTTGGGGCATAGGAGTGGGTGTCATAAGTACAGGTTAGGGGACAAGTGGCTGGAGAGCAGCACTTGTGAAAGGGACCTCGGGATGCTGGTTGACTGCAGGCTAAGCATGAGTCAGCAGTGTGATGCAGTGCTTAAGAGGGCGAACGCCACCCTTGGTTGCATAGCCAGAAATGTGGCTTCTAGATTGTCAGAGGTATCACTACCATTCTGTACGACTCTGGTGCACCCACAACCGGAGTATTGTGTTCAGTTTTGGGCCCCTCATTACAGAAAGGATATAGCCAGTTTGGAGTCAGTGCAGCGTAGGGCCACAAGGTTGGTGGCTGGTTTGCAGGGGATGCCGTATGAGGCGAGACTGAGGGAACTGGGTCTCTTCAGCCTGGAGAAGAGGAGACTCAGAGGGGATATGTTGGCGACATATAGGTATGTGGGAATATGTCACACGGAGGTGGGTAGAGAACTGTTCTCCCCTGCAGAGGAAGGCAGGACGCGCTCCAGCGGAGCAAAGCTCAGGGAACCCAGGTTCTATATAGATGCCAGGAAGTACTTCCTGACAGTTAGGACCCTGGGGGTGTGGAATGGGCTTCCACGGGAGGTGGTTGAAGCCCCATCAGTGAGGGTGTTTAAAGATAGGCTGGACATGCACATGGTGGGCATGTCATGAGTGGAGCCGACTGGAGCTGGGGGTCAGGCTAGATGGCCCGGCAGACCCCTTCTGACTCTCTCTGTTTCTAAACAGCGGATCGCACGAGACATGGTGATGTAAGCCAAGAGCAGAATTACAGCTTGTGGATGATGTTTCTTGGTATCCAGATAACACTTTTTACCATCTATTACATTGTTCCTTACCGTATCTCACACCCAAATACCAAATTAAGAAAGCTACAAAATCTGGTACCAACAGGTAGGATACACTAGACAAGAAACTATAGGTGAAAGAAAAGTCAGAACAGTTCAAGGTAATATTGAAGCATAAATAAGACTGTTTCAAAAGACACATTGGATCTGCCATGCTACATAAACAGTTGCCATGCACACATGGATGCATACCCACTGGTAACCTACATGTTAAACAATGAACAATATAGGGGCCATATTCCAGGGGTGGGTGGGGCTAAAGGCAAAAGGGGTGGGACCAAAAATAAATATGGAAAGGCACCAATACATCACTGGTGGAGGAAAGGGAATCGACCCAAGGAAGAGGGCAGGAGGTTCTGGGGAACTCTGGCAGGCAGGACTCGGATTCTGGGTTGGCTGGACTTGACCCCCAGGTCCAAGAAATGCTGAGTAAAGTATAATCTCCTTCAGCTACTATTTCCAACCCTTCTGGTTTAGGAATGGTGGCAGGTCAGCAGCCCTTAAGCTCACGCGAGGATCTGCTCTGTATGCCAGCAATGAATAGCTCATTACATTCAGTACATGTGTGTTTGTTTTTGCTCTCCTTTTAGAATGTGGAATATCTTCACTGGGACATGTGTGAGAATTTTTAATGGCCACTCAGGGAGCATCACTTGTTTGGATGTGTACAAAAACAAATTTGTGTCTGGATCCAAAGACTGCACGGCAAAAAGTGAGCATGGGGGCTGTATCTTTCTCAGGGGCTAAGGGCAAAGCCAACAATGGCTGAACCTACAGTCCATAGAATGAAAGTGTAGACAAGGCAGGATAGCAAGTTGAACCTGGAGGAAAATGTTGCAATGTACCCTGATGCTTGGCCACCCTCTGACAGGAGTGCTTTAGTCCAGAGCGCTAGTCACAACCTCTTCCAGAATGCACGATAAACTGGGGTTCAACTGTATAAAGGGGATAAACTGTAAGGGCCTTTCTCCACTATTTTTTATTTTCCGTCTATGACTCAACATTCCGTATCTGCTGGAGGTCAGCATGCTTTTTCCTCACTTGAACACAGATTTGGGTTAAGAGGGTTGCATTTTTGGATTTTAAAAAATGGTGTGTGCTTGTATATACCTTGACCCTCATGGTGTGCTTTACATGATGTCACCTCCTGCACTTTGCAAGTATTTCCATGCCCTTGTTTGGATTGAGGAAATACGGTTTTATCTGGATAGCTTGCTAAAACAAACTCATATATTTCTACAGTCTTCTATACAGCAGTCCCTGCTTGTGTTTATGTAATAGAATAAATAGGAAGGCAGGGAAAGAAAAACCTTGTGGGAAGGACATGGGTAAAGGAGCTGATCTTAAAGCCACAAAGAATCTGGAAGCTAAAGGCTTAGAAAAGTAACAAGCCAAAAGCCAAAAGAGAAGCCCTTTGGGTGTTCGGAGGCAACCCTTTTCTCACCTTGCTTGTACAGAGGTCCTTCCACTTGTATCCCTCTAATATTTTCTAACAGGAAAAAAAATGTAAAGGAGGGAAATATGAAATAAGTGCACAGTATTTTGGTAGTACTAACTCCCTGTCTGGAAGTCCCTTTAAATTATGATTTTCTATATGCTGAGGCAGAAAAAAGTCCCACATGCTTGCTTGGAAATGCTGTCGTACAACTTTTTTCTGTTTAAACCTGCATAGGATTGCACCTTTAGTTAACTGCCTCACTGGGTTGCATGTACATTCACCATTTTCTGCCCCTTCCCTTCATGCAAAAACATGTATATGCAGCACTTGTGCTTTGAAGATTATTTTATATGCCTGTCTTTCTCAGGACCTTCCCAACCAAGTAGATGCCTCACTCCTGCTTTCCAGTGGCCCCATTTGGGTTCCCACTAAGTCAGCTTTCAACTACTTATGTTTACTTCTGGGAGTTATAACAAAAATCTAGGGCTGGAAAATGTTGCATTCCTTGATTAATTTGTCTGTTGTATTTCCTAAAAAAGGGAAGATTTGATCTTAAATCAAGCCCCTTTGGTGCAAAGAGTTCTCAAGCAATTCCTTATATATCCTCATTCCACACAGTCCTCCCAAAAACCTGAGGCAGGGAAGGCTAAAGCAACAATGCACAGAAATGAATTCAAGTCCAAAAGCAGCTAAAGCGCACGAGTGCAAATGTGCCATTGACCCTTCACTGATTTATAAATTCTTAGCCTGCACATATGCCTATCTCAAAGTAAGCACACTCATTTTACTTCTGAAAAATTATGGTTTGGCTTGTTCTGAAAATTAATTAACTGCATCTTCTTGGGTCCTTCACAGTGTGGAGTATAGAAACTGGGAAATGTCTTAAGACCTTTGGGCACAAGGGTATTGTATGGAGTGCAAAAATGAATGACACTCATCTTGTGAGTGCCTGTGACAGAGGAATAGTGAAAGTGTGGCACGCCGTAACGTGGATATTGATCAAGGTATGCCCCTTATGCAATGGCCCCTGATGTTGAACATGATTTTGGAACTGTAACTTCAACTAACTAACAAATTTAATGCAAAGTTAGAAGCAAGCAGTGCAAGCCTGACCTCTGGCTGGGTGGTGCAGATTAAGCGTTGGGTGGACATGTCCCTTTGCAAAGAGGGCTGGGCAGATCTGCCCCAGCTCATGCCTGCAGAAAGCTCTGCAAGTGTAATCTACTGCTGTAAAGGACCCACAGCGGGTGTTCTGGGAACCAGATGTGATCCATTGGATTGTTGCCCTGTATTCCCCCATGAGGCCCCCTGATTGGGTCCTTCACATAAACCGGCCTCAAGATGGGGAAGGTATTTTCTTCTCTCATTTCTCCTAACTGAGGTGGGGTATTAAAGGAAAAGGGTAAACCTGTGTCTTCACGCGCGCACACACACGCACGTGTGCACACAAACACTGACCCAGAGCTGCCACTTCCAAAATGGGCCAGACTTCCTAAGTGACCACTTATTACCACATGACCCACCACTTCACTCCCTCCCACCAAGTAAGGATTGCACTGCCTGAAAATAAAACTAAAATGTCATTTCCATTGTTTAACTGCAGCATCTAACTTTTCCTATTTCTCTGATCATATTGCAAACAGAACCTGTTCTCAATAAGCATGTGTTATATATTAACGAAAAAGGACAAAATTGTTTCAAGTTACAGTATCAATATTGTCTAAAGGCTAGACATTTCAAAGAGATTGGTGTCTGACTTGAGGAAAAAATGTGGCAAAGGAATGTAAGAGTTGCCTGCTGTGTTAGGGACAGCTAGCAGGAGGGAGCTCTCCAACCCCAAACAGACAATATTTTGTTTGCTTATTAAGAGCAATATGTAAAAGTGGACACTAACCATGAGTATTTTTATTTCATGTGGGACTATATGAAAAGTTTTTGAAAATCCAGTTATCTTACATTTGTTGGAGCCACCCTGTATGTATTCTGTAACACCCTCAAATGATTCTAAATCTTTGGCGAGGCAAAATGCCTGTATACAAAAGCCACACTGATTCTTCTTCAGCAAAGTTTGTTCTTCTGTATGTTGAATAATCCAAGCTTGAATAACATTTTCTACAAAATTTCCTGGAGTAGGTGTAAGCTTGATAAGACTTATTTCTTGCTTCATCTGCTAAAGAATTGGTGCTGCAGAAGTTACCTTTGAATCCAGTACAAAAGTCCTTACTGCTGGTGGTCATATGTTTTTGATGGACATTCAATTGCAGAAGGTCAAAGAGAGACATTCACCTTTCCAGCCTTAGTGTTTACTGATGTAGTAAAGAAGCATTTTAAATCAAGTGGGGCCCAGAAGTACCTAAACCCACAAAATTGTGTATTTCTTTTTCCAGATTTTACAAGGTCACCAAGGTCCTGTGAAATGTCTGTCATTTGATGAGTGGCATCTTGTGACAGGAAGCAGTGATGGCTACATCCTGGGGTGGAGCATGCTAGGAAAACACAAGAGATGTCTGGTGGCTTTCAGGCATCCTATGTAGGTATTGTTTGATACACTCCCAAAGCTATAAACAGTCATGGCGTCAAGGGATTTCTGAAGTCCTCTTTTAATCAGTATATCTTTATGCTGTAAGGTGTTCAGAATAGAGTCTATGGACAACATAGCAGACTGAATCTTTTCCTTTGTCCAAATCCTTTCCATGGGACATGAGACAGCTTCCTATTTTTGTACCACAATATGGTAAAAGATCATCATCATCATGGATCATAGATCCTATTTTGTGAACCACCCAGAGAGCTTCAGCTGTTGTGTGATATAGAAAATCAATCAATCAATCAATCAATCCTAGAAAGTATGGACCATTTCCTACCTTCAAGGTCCTTTCTATGAATGGAGTTGTACAGTGAGGCTTCTTCAGTGGATCCTTATCTGATATTGACAGTTTTCAAAAATTGGTGTGGGCTGCGGGGGAGCTGCATGAAATGGTAGTGAAAAAGCGAGGCCCATAATAAAATCTGTCAATATGATTTATTCTGGTATTACAAAGGCTGTATGTGGGTATGAAATAATTCCTTCCAGCAAAATAGGGAAGAAAGAAATGACCTAGAAAGAAGGAAATCGAGCCGGGGTTTGTTTGCTGATCTGCAAACAATTTAGGGCTACAGCAAAAAACCCTTGTAAACATAAATCATGGTTTAGCATTACTTGAGAATGCAGCCTATTCTTTGCTCATCTTTTCATGCTATGCACAAAATTAGAAAACTGTAATTGGACCTGTGAAGAAACTGATGTAAAGCAGCTTTGATCTGCTTTAATGAATGAAGGGGATGAACTGTCCAGGATGGAGAAGCATGTGTTCTGCTCCAGGCCTGTGCCTGAGGAGTGATGCATTATAAAGAGGGAGTGCTGGTGGACTGGCAGTCACTATCACCCTTCCCAGGGAATGTAGCCAGGCTTGCACCTTCAAGGTGGAATTGAAATTGGCCCCGCCTGATTGGAGAGCAGCTGAACTTTCTAAAGATGCCTATTGGCCCTGAGTTTGAGTGGAACTGGGGTCATGGCATATTGGCCATGCCAAAGCTGACTGGCCGGAGAGTTCTGCCCAGAGCAAGGATAAGGACTATTGAAAGGCATCCTGAGAGTTTGCCAGGGGAGAGTCTTTCAGGAAGACAGTTAGCAGGAGGTGTCTTTGGGAATCTCAGGAAGATACCAGCCAGGAAGAAGGGCATATTCAAGACAAAGAAGCCAAGCTGAGAGCATGTGAGGCAGAAACTGAGGGAGGTCTGCCAGTAATGCAAGGAGCAGGGCAGACTTCTTGAGCAGCCTCTGAATGAGAGGGAAACCAATGGTGGCATTGGTTTAAAGACAGAACATCTGCTGGACCAAACTGAGGACTTCTGAGGAAGCCCAGTGAAGACCCATAAAGATTTCTGTCTGTAGTCAGACCTTCCCAGAAAGAATTAGCTGGGCTAGAGCTTGATAGGAGAATTGGCTTAAATTTGGTTAGGGTTAGGAGCTGAAGTTACTAATGCTGGCTTATTGTAGCAATGATGTAATAGAAGCCTGCTTTCGAAAGCGATGACATAGAACCCTGTTCTTAATAAAACAGCAATCATAAAAAAAATCTCTCATTTTTGTTTGTAAGAAAATATTCTTTTATTTTGTCTTTATTCTACTTGTATACCTCTGTTTGTCTTGTGTATAATGACCAACAACAGAGTGGAGTTTAATGGTGGTGGTGGGACTGAGGGGAGGAATTCCCCAGTGGGAGTGGGTGTTCCTCTAAAGCACTGGTGGCGAACCTATGGCACGCGTGCCACAGTGGGCACGGAGACTCCTCTCCATTGGCACACGAGGCAAGTCGCCCCAGCATTGCCCTATCAGCCGAGTATTGGAGAACAGTGCACAAAGGGGCCATGCACATACTCAGAAAGGAGTTTGCTCTATATTAGGGTTAGGGCTGTGCACCAGGGTAGGGTTAGAGTTTGAAAAACGAGGTGTCCTGGCATGATTTTTATTCTTGGAATGTGTGTGGAATGGGGAGAAATGATGAGCAATGCAGTAAAACTACTCCAAGAAGACTTTCTCAAAACCTCATTATTTTAAATGGAACTTTCGCCCTATATTAGAATTAGGGGTGAGCGCCAGGGTAGGGTTAGGGTCAGAAAAGCAAGGTGTCCTGGCATGCTCTTGATGCTTGGAATGTATTTAGAATGGGCAGAAACAATGAGCAGTGCAAAAAAAGCTACTCAAAGAGGGGTTTTTCAAAATCGCATTACTTTCAATGGAACATCTGCCCTATATTATGGTTAGGGCTGTGCACCAGGGTAGGGTTAGGGTTAGAAAAATGAGGTATCCTGGCACGATTTGGATGCTTGGAATGTGTTTAGAATGGGCAGAAAGGGTGAGCAATGCAGAAAAAGCTACTCAAAGAAGGCTTTTTCAAAATTGCAGTATTTTTAATGGAAATTTTGTCCTATATTAGGGTTCGGGGTGTGCACCAGGGTAGGGTTAGGATTAAAAAAACAAGGTGTCCTGGCATGACTTTGATGCTTGGAATGTGTTTAGAATTGGCAGAAACTGTGAGCAATGCAGAAAAAGCTACTCAAAGAAGGTTTATTCAAAATCGCATTCTTTTCTTTTTTTTTTTTGAATAAGTTTTCTTCTAAATAAACCTAATACAAAGAAAAACTAAAAACAACATCAATCATCGGAAACATTGGACTTACTGAGTCAGCCCCCCACATTTTTTCTTTTTATGTTAACTTATCAACATATTTAAATCTATGCGAAGCCCCGTTTCTTTAGCCAATAACAAAGAGTCCCAAGTTTATAGAAGAAATCGTATTATCGTCAATGGAACTTTTACCCTATATTAGGGTTAGGGGCGTACACCAGGGTAGGGTTAGGGTGAGAAAAACCCAGTGTCCTGGCATGATTTTTATTCTTGGAATGTGTTTAGAATGGGCAGAAATGATGGGCAGTCCAGAAAAAGCTACTCAAGGATTTTTCAAAATTGCATTATTTTCAATAGAATTTTTGCCCTATATTAGGGTTCGGGGTGTGCACCAGAGTAGGGTTAGGGTTAGAAAAAGCAGGTGTCCTGGCATTATTTTGATGCTTGGAATGTGTTTAGAATGGACACAAACGTGTAGCAGTGCGGAAAGAGCTATTCAAAGAAGGTCTTTTCAAAATCGCATTATTTCAATGGAACTTTTGCCCTATATTAGGGTTAGGACTGTGCACGAGGGTAGGGTGAGGGTTAGGAAAACCTGGTGCCCTAGTATGCTTTTGATGCTTGGAATGTGTTTAGAATGGTCAGAAACGATGAGCAGTGCCGAAAAAGCTACTCAAAGACCACATTGTCAAAATCCCATTATTTTTAGTGGAACTTTTGCCCTATATTAGGGATAGGGGTGTGCACCAGAGTAGGGATAGGGTTAGAAAAACGAGGTGTCATGGCATGATTTGGATGCTTTGAATGTATTTAGAATGAGCAGATATGATGAGCAGTGCAGAAAAAACTATTCAATAGAGACTTCTTCAAAATCACGTTATTGTCAATGGAACGTTTGACTTATATTAGGGTTCGGGATGTGCACCAGGATAGGGTCAGGGTTAGAAAAACGATGTGTTCTGGCATGATTTTTATGCTCTTAATGTGTTTAGAGTCGACAGAAATGATGGGCACTGCAGAAAAATCTATTCTGGGAAGGCTTTTTCAAAATCATATTATTGTCAATGGAATGTTTAACTTATATTAGGGTTTGGGGTGTGCACCAGGGTAGGGTTAGGGTTAGGAAAAGGAAGTGTCCTGGCATTATTTTGATGCTTGGAATGTGTTTAGAAAGGGCAGAAATGATGAGCAGTGCAGAAAAAGCTACTCAAAGAAAGCTTTTTCAAAAAAATTTTTAGTGGAAATTTTGCCCTATTTTAGGGCTAGGGGTGTGCACCAGAGTAGGGTTAGGGTTAGAAAAATGAGGTGCCCTGACATGATTTTTATGCTTGGAATGAATTTAGAAATGGCAGAAGCAATGAGCAGTGCAAAAAAATCTGCTCAAAGAAGGCTTCTTCAAAATTGCATCATTTTCAAAGGAAATATTGCCCTATATTAAGTTTATGCGTGAGCACCAGGGCAGGGTTCGGGTTAGAAAAACGAGGTATCCTGGCATGATTTTTATTCTTGGAATGTGTGTAGTAAGGGGAGAAACAATGAGCAATGAAGATAAAACTACTCAAAGAAGACTTTCTCAAAACGTTATTAATTTCAATGGAACGTTCACCCTATATTAGGGTTAGGGCTGTGCACCAGGGTAGGTTTTGGGTTAGAAAAATGAGGTGTCCTGGCATGATTTTGATGCTTGGAATGTGTTTACAATGGGCAGAAACGATGAGCAGTGCAGAAAAAGCTACTCAAAGAAGTCTTTTTCAACCGCGTTATTTTCAATGGAACTTTTATCCTATATTATGGTTAGGACTGTGCACCAGGGTAGTGTGAGGGTTAGGAAAACCTCATGTCCTAGTATGCTTTTGATGCTTGGAATGTGTTTAGAATGGTCAGAAATGAGGAGCAGTGCCAAAAAAGCTACTCTCAAAGACTGCTTTTCCAAAATTCCATTATTTTTAGTGGAACTTATGCCCTATATTAGGATAGGGATGTGCACCAGGGTAGGGTTAGGGTTAGAAAAATGAGGTGTCCTGGCATGATTTCGATGGTTGGAATTTGTTTAGAAATGGCAGAAGCTATGAGCAGTGCAGAAAAATCTACTCAAAGAAGGCATTTGCAAAATTGCATTATTTTTAATGCAACTTTTGCCCTAAGATAGGGTTTGGTGTGTGCACCAGGGTAGGGTTAGAGTTAGAAAAACGAGTTGTCCTGGCATGATTTTGATGCTTGGAATATGTTTAGAATGGGCAGAACCGATGAGCAGTGTAGAATAAGCTACTCAAGGAAGGCTTTTTCAAAATCACCCTCTTTTCAGAGTATCTTTTGGCCTGGATTAGGGTTAGGGGAATGCAGCAGGTAGGGTTAGGGCAGTGGTGGTGCACCTCTGGCATGCATGTCACAGTAGGCACTCGGATTCCGCTCCGTCTGCATGCGACCAGTTGCGCCAGCATCGCCCCAGCAGCAGAGCATGGGATAACAGTCCACATAGGGGCCATGCGCATGCTCGGAAAGGAGTAGCAGCATCCGGCGATGGCTTCACAAGCCGCGACTCATCAGCCATGGTTCCTCTGAGCTTTCACATGGCCAGTTAGTGTGCTACCAAGGGCGGGGGGGGGGGGGGGTAGTGTGTATTTTCTTGGTCTCGCTTTGAGTTGTTTTTTCTAAGCTAAAACCTCTGTTTTCAGGTTTTCTTGCAGTGTTGGCACTTTGTGATAAATAAGTGGGTTTAGGGTTGCAGTTTGGGTGCTTGGTCTCTAAAAGGTTTGCCATCACTGCTCTATAGTGTCTCTGTTTAATATATTACATAGCAGTACTCCAGTATTTTACTGCAAAGTTGCAGTAATACTGTCTTTTTTCTTATTCTGAGAAAAGAGCACTACTTGGGTTGTCTCCTCTTGTTGGTGCCCTCTATTCTTGTCATAGAGCTGAGCAATAGAACAGGCATCTCATGAGGCCAATCAGAGAACAATATTCCTGGATGTGGGTTGCCCTTCTTATGAGTTATGACTAACGATGTGGCTCATGACACAGCTAGTACCATCATGACCAGGTCAGATGTAGGCTTTGATAGTGGTGAGAGCCCTTGTTCTGTGTGCTTACTAGGGACTGAAAATGGTGAGCAGAGCCTCAGGAGCAACTGTGCCTCTGCAGGGCTATTGCAAGAATGGGCTTGATCTGGCTCTGCCAGGTGAAGTTGCTAGGCTGGCCCAAACTCTCCTCTAGGCACACTGGAGGATCTGGATAAGGAGAATGGAAAGTCTTGAGGGTAGTTGGACTTTGGGGAGACAAGAAGCCTAAGTGAAGGCCATATGGTAGGCCTTTCATTAGTGGTATCTGTAGAACTGATGCCCTTATGTTGTCCAGATCTACCTTAGATTATGCTGAAGAATAGCCCTTTAAATATAAAGGCTACTCCACAAATGAAAGGGACAAAAGCTGTTGCTTTAGAGGTTTTGATGGAGGAGACAAGAAGGTCTGAAGCAGAATGAGCTAGCCAGCAAAAGACATGATAGATTTATCCTGCATGTTTCTAATAAAAGATATAGATGGAAGTTCAAAAATAATGGAACACAGTGCAAGTGGAGGTGTACAGCTGCAGTTGGAAAGATCTACTTCATTGTTCCAACCAACACTTCCTTTCCAGGGTGCACAGCAATCTGCTTGAAAAACAAGGTTGCTATTTTATATAGGACTCCTGGTAAAGATTCAGCATTGAATCAACTGCCAAATGTGCCAAATGACTCACTTCTGAACTGCTGATGAATGTAGTAAATGATTCATTTTTAATTGTTTGCAGTGAGATGAGAATGTATTCCTTGCTTGCATCATGTGCAAATAGATGTTTTACTAGTTTAATTGTGAAAAAGAGCATTTAAAAATCCATCCTCCTTTCTGTTTACTTTGAGGCATGTATATTCAGTGCTGTACAACAGGATGGCCTTATTTTTTCAACAGCATCCTGGAATAACAACCATTATCTTTACACCTCTTATTTTGCCTGTAGGGAGGTTCTGCACCTAGGCTTTCTCTATCTCAGAGTCATCAGTGGCTGTGCTGATGGGAAGATACGCATATTTAACTTCCTGACCGGGACCTGTCTGAGGGTTATGAGAGCCAATAGTAGAGGTGACCCTATCATGTCCTTCTGTATTGTTGAAAACAAGTAGGTTACAGTCATTATTTTCCAAATCTTTTGTAATAATAAAAACTACATGTACATCTGAGTAGATGAGTGGAAAGACACGGAAAGGAAATGCAATCCATACTGCTTTAACTGGGAAACATGCACATTCTAAGAATACAAACTTAAAAGTAAGCCATTAAACTTAATGGGGCTTGCTTCTGACCTAACATACAGTACCTAGCATCAGAGTACCAGTGATACAAGTCCTATTAAGTATTATTTTATACTCAAGTATAAGCAAAGGATAACTGAATTTAATTTGATCCAGGCTTTTTTGTCAGTTCTTTAAATTGTTACTTTCTTCTGCAAAGAAATCCTGACTGGAACTGTCACTGCTATATGCCTCATGAGAAATTTAAGGAAATCTTGGATTTTTCTGCCTGCAGAAAACATTTGAGAAAAATTGGTTAAAAAGAAGTATTTTCCTAAGATTACTGAAATTTCTGAGGGGAAATCTCATGACCTCTCTGCCTGTCTTTGCCGCTGCCCTTCAAAATATTCAAGTGTTTCCTCTTAATTTATCATTTTCTGAAGGAGAATCAGTGCTCCTTCACTATTGCTAGGAGGAGGTAGCCCTTTCTATCAGAAAATTCATATGCCACACCCAGATAAAATACAACCCTTTTAATATTGCTAACTCCAAACAACATTACCTCCTTACCCCACCTCCACTGTAGAACTCCCAACAATGTGTTGTCATCATTGCATATAATGTTGCATTGTTGTAAATGCTAGTTACTAACATAAGCAATTAAATGAATGATCTCCCAATTTCATTTGTACTAACAGCACTGTTGTGTTTGATCAGTTCAGTTAGGTCCAAACTGAACACAATTTTAAATGCATATTAGCATTTAACACAGATGTTTTTAAAAATGGAAATAGGAGCTGCCTGAGGATGAAGCTACCTGAAGGATGGCTTTGCCCTCAATAAAACTGCTCAGGCTTCCAGATATCAAGGAGAGCACCTTCTCTTTGTCCCTGCAATGTCTGAAGCATATTGGGCAGGGAGAAGGGCTTTGCTGGCAATGCCTCAGCTTTAGCACTGCCTTGGTAGTCTGCTGACATGAAGTTAAGATCCCTTATTTGGACAGGCCTTAGTTTGTAAAGTTGATTGGCTTTATTTAATTTATTTATTTATTTGGAATACTTTTATGCCGCCCCATTTGTGTAAGCCTCGGGGCAACTTTATTGGTTGGTTCTGTTGCTGGCTTTAAATAATTGATTTACTATTTAAACTTGCTTCTTGTACATACTCCTTTATGGGCATCAATATGAATTGTATTTTATTAGCCCATTGTTTGATCAACATTTTTATGAATTTTATTTACTGATCATAAATTTAAGTTTAAATTGAATTTTTTTACAGGTTTATTATAACATTCTTATTGTTGGATTTGTTCATCTTGTCTTTTGTTATTTTATCTGATGCTCTTATATTCTATATGATGCTAACGCCTCTAGGTTTCTTTTTGAAGAGGAAAGTGGGATACAATTTTTTGTTTGTTACACACGCACACACACACACTACCTTTCTCTAAGGGGTCCAAAGCTCTGTACATGATCCTCTTCCTCTCCTATTCATCCTTACAACAACACTGTGAGGTAGGTTAAACTGAAGTCAGTGACTAGCTATCTCTTGTTCTCTCTAGTGAGGACTAGAATCTGGTTTTTGCAGTCCTTGTCTAACCACTACCCCACACTGACTCTTGCCACAATAAACCATGGCAATGAATATGTATAGAAAGGAAGGATATAGATTTAGATAATACATATATAACCACCATTTCATAAGAAGGGGAGTTAGTTCTTTTCTTCTCTGCTGTGGTCTTGATGAGCATCACTTCTCCAAAGCATCTGCAGCTGGGTACTTTCCTTCCTGTACAAATAGCAGCTTTGGAAGAACAATTTTCGTCAAGACTACAGGAGAGGAAACGTTAAACACCCCACCCCATCTGCTAGGATGCCAATCCTTTTATGCTCCCCCTTCCAGGAGATATTTGCATTTTTAAGAATGCATATGTTGCCTGCAGTTCAGCAGAACTGTGGGGAAAGACAGTGTGGCCACAAGTTAAAGCAGTACATTTCCCTCTTCACAAGTTTAGAATTGATAGGTCTGATAAATGCTACCCTAGCCAGCTGGCACTCCTCTACATTTTTGACACCTTCCATGGTTTCCTGTAGTGTCTTCTCACTGCCATTCTCTTTTCTAGACTATTGATCAATGCACAAGGCAGTGTTGTTTTGTTCATGTTTGAGGAGGTGAAATGGGACCATTCACAAGCTGCGGAACAGGTAATTAAAAAACAGGACAGAAGCAAAGGTGATGTCCTACCAATTCAAATGAAGCCACCTCCACAGTTACATACTGAGCGGCAGAAACGGGCCAAGAAGACAAATTGGAAACTTTACAGCAGAGACAGCAATGATGTCATGCTTTCCTATAGTATTACTCGGAGGTCTGCACGATGCTCCAGAGATTCTCCAGGTATAGCATTCTACTTCTGGTCCCTTCTGATGAATAGATAAGTTAATGTTGGAGAAAGTCTTGCAAGGGTTTGTATATGTGATGGTCAGGAACAAAGAAAGAGGCATCCCTTCCACAAACCCTCCCCGGTTTTGAGACAGCATGTACAGTATGTGGCCTCAGGTAGGCATTTTTCCCAATTCAGGAGACTAATGCCACATGCTGAACTGCATTCTACCCACACTGCATTTGGAAGGCACTGAAATGGGGGTTTGGTCCTCCTAACTCTCATTTCATCTTGACAAGAGTGAAAAATATGCCCGGCTCAGTTACAACATTGACACTGAGTTGAACAAGTGGCCAACTGATCAGGCAACGTGTTTAGTCTATCACTTATGGCAGTGTAAACTGAACCCATATCGTAGCATGCACATAAGCTTTGATCGAACATGTTTTGGGGGGGAGAGAATTTTTCATGCAATTGCTGGGTATGTGGAGAAGGGCATGATTTCTATAGGCTCTAGTGAGACTTTACAGAGTGCCATAGATTATTTATTTATCTTATGTAAAACTTTTCTATACCGTCACAGATGTCTCAGGATGGTTTACAACAAATTAATACAATAAAATAAAAATAAGAGTGACAGAGATTAAGAGTAGGAGATTATGTACTTAGAGTGCCAAGGGGGTCTGATGTTGTTGATGTTCCTGTTGTTGTTGTTATGAATGAGTCACTTTTTGCCCACCAGGGATCTCAAAGTAATTGTACAATGGCCTAAAATGCAAGAGAAACAAAACAAGAAGTTACTATTGATTAAAAGTGTATATAAATGGAGTTAGTCATTAATAGAAGCATGTATAACAACACAATAAAGAGACAACTAGAGAGATGATAATTTTACCACAGATGTTAAAGAGGCCTGACAGTGCATATTCCATAAAAAGGTTGCCATATCAAGGATTTTTTTGGTGCCCTAATGTATTGTCATTTTTTTTTACAATATACATTTGAAAAATATGGGGAGATAAAGACAGTGCTCATATAACCATCACAGGTTAGGAAGCCTCTTATTTTTAGCTTCAGTGCATAACTGCATGCTGAACTGTGGCTTGTAAATCTGATGGTGCACGTAGGGTTGGGTTCTAAGTGGGACACCCTGTCCTTAAATGCATCAGTGGCAGATCACTATCTTTAAGGGTGATTTTATGTGTCAGTTACACAAAGAACTTGAGTGTTGCTATAGTGCTGGAGTAAGTTCTGTGGTTCAGATGAAGCTGACCATGTATTTTAGATGGATATAGCATTCTTAGTATGTTCTCAGGGTAGTTAATAGCAAAACAATATGTTCCAAGGCAAGCTTGAATATTCAGACCCATTTAGGCAGTCCTACCAGTTCCTTTACATATAGGGAATATATAAAGAATGCATTTATTTCAGGGCCCAAGGAATGCTTAGCCATTATACTCACAGCTCCACAAACTGACCTTTTTCCAGTGCCGGTTATTCTGGGAAACTTTTAAACCTCCTAATGGTATCGTCTAGGAGGGTTAAGTGTGGAATAGTCACTACCACTAGATGGTTTCATCTATTAAACCAAGAGCTTTATTAAGGAATAATTGGTACATAAGAGAACAAAGCATTGTTCAAATTACTCAAATGGTCACACAAATTACAATTACTTATTAGAATGGCTATGCTTAAATGTACATCATTCAAAAAACCCTTGCCTACCATACTTAGTAAGAGAGTTTTTCTGCAAATAAACTCAATAGCTTCCCCCTGCCCCCGATCCAATTCTGCTGCCAAGAACAGATGCGGTACAGCAGCCTTCCTCTGCCCCTACCCATAGCTTCTGGATTCTGGGGTGCAGGCATTGCATTAGGGATGCTGGGCTGCACTGCTTGCCTGAAATAATACCTACAGCCCAGGTTGACAGGCTGCTTTGAATAGGAATCCTGCAAGGAAGAACCTGCAATATTAACAGGTGAAGTGAAAGCTATGCAGAAAGTTCTTGGAAGGACTAAAGGATCTGGAGTAGATGTGGAACCAGTTTAACTACCATGAGCTGCAAAGGCTGGACCAGTCCAAATTGTAACAAGAATATGCCAACAAATACGGAAAAACAATGGACCAGAGACTGGAAACAGACAATGTACGTTTGAATCCCCAAGAAAGGAGATGCTAAGGAGTGCAGCAACTACAGGATCATTGCAATAATTTCTCATGCAAGCAAAGCAATGTTTATGGTGTTGCAACAAAGTATTTTGCTCTATGTGCCGTGAAAAATGGCTTAAGTACAAGCTCGGTTACAAAAAGGAAGAGGCACTTGAGATCATCAGTCTACACTTTATCAAGAACAAGAAGGCCTTACACTGTAGGGTCACAAGAAGCTGTGGATGTTTTGAAAGAACAGGGTGTCTCAGCACTGGATTGTCCTGGTGAATAACCTGTATTGTGGACAAGAAGAACCTGCTAGGACAGAATATGGAGGAACACAGCAAGACTACAGAAGAATTACATAACCTTAATGTCAACAATGAAGACATTGAAATTGTGAAAGATTTGGCATACATTGGCTCAAACATCAATTCAAAGGGAGACTGAGGCTGAGAAATTAGAAGACTGGGGCTTGGAAGGGTAGCAATGAGAGCATTTGAAAAGATCATCAAATGTGAGGATGTTTCACTGGAGATCAAGGCCAAGGTCACCTACACGACTATATTCCCAATCAATATGTATGGGTGTGAAATCTGGGCAAAGAAGAAAGCTGACAGGAAGAAAATTGATGCATTCAGACTGTCGTGCTGGAGGAATGCTTTGCAAATACTCCAGACTGAAAGAAAGAAGAACAAGTGGGTCCCAAATCCTTGGAAGCAAAAATGATGAAACTGAAGCTGCCATATTTTGAGCACATCATGAGAAGGCAAGACGTACTGGATTAGACAGTAATGCTAGGTAAAGTCGAAGGCAGAAGGAGAGGAAGGCCATCTATGGGAAAAATTTATTCCACAAAGGAAGCCAGAGCCTTGACTTGACAAGAGCTGAGCAGGGCTGTCAAGGACAGGGCATTTTGGAGGGCTTTCATTCAAAGGATTGCCATAAACCAGAGATGACTTGATGGTACATAACAACATCTACCCTTTAGGGACCTTTAAAGCATGAGTTGTGCTTGGGAGCCAGTTGGGTAACAGTCCTGCTCTTTAAGGACACGTGCAGGGTACTTACGGCCTGCTCCTATCAGCCACATATTGGATCAACTGTAGTTCCTAAACAGCTGTTAGGGGTAAATAAATCCCTTGTAAAGCTGCTGTGGTAATCTAATCCATAGGTCACCAAGACAATAAATCACCAGGTCAAATTTTTTATTCCTAAGGAAGGGACAAATGGAACACCAAACAGAGCTGGAGAAAAAGGCAACACTGGATCAAAAAACATTCTCAGGAGCTTTTCTTTCCGCTGACTCTCCAAGCAAAAGAACCTCCCATTAAGAACTGAGTCTGTTGGATTCAAAATCTGTGTACTGTAGTGCTAAGAAGCTCTATGAGAAGAGTTTTCAGTTCAAATTTGGGCAGGAAGTAACCATTCTCCTTTGTTTGCTTATTTTGCTACTGCTGTCAGCTCTGTAGCAGTAGGAACGCTCTCCCTGGTAGCTACTGGCTAGCTGCTACCACATTTGCTTCTCCAGAAGTCCTCTGAAAACGACACTATGTCACTATGTAACGTCCATTCCCATACAGTTTCACAGAGGTATGCTTATGTGTTTTGGTGATTTCTGATGCCTATCAGGAATAGAACCAACAAATGGAAATTGTAAGGAAGCCGATTTCAACAAAACTTTAGGAGAAACATCCCAGTGATAAGAATGGAACAGAGTATGGAGTATGCAACAATGGTGAAACTAACCAATTATACTAAATTTACTGAAATGTACTGAAAAATGGAAAGCTTATTATGAGCAATTTAACTAAAGCTAAAGAAAACAATCTTTAAAAATATTGTCAGTGATTCTTACTCTAATACTAAAGCTATGCATGATATAATCCACAATTAGTTTTATAAACTAGATTAATCTGTATGAGAACTCCAAATGATTTAAATGTGGCCATAGCAGACATAAGTGTTTGCCTTTTTGTGAACTTGTTAGATAGTGAAACTATATGCTGTATTTGTCCTTGGTATCCTCTTTTATATACTCCTCCCCTCTTCTTTTCCTAATGTATTTTGTGAAAAAAAAATACTTTAAAAAGGGAATGAAAAGATTGTGTCAATAAATGGTGGATTCTCCTTGTTGATGGCATTTATGTGCTGGATGGTCCTCTTAATACTGCTGTTGTACGTTTCCTACTCTGAGTGGAACAGAAAGGTGCATGAACTAGATGGCCTCCACTTCAGACTCTGTGATTCTCTTATTCAGCCTGCCCCCATAATTAAGATACTCATATAAAATCTTGAAACCCCTTTTTGAGAGGTGCAAGGACTTATCTACTGACCTTTAACATGGTCATTAGGGGTGGAATGCAATTAATGATTGGCTTCTATCAGCACCATAGAGAGGGCAGTGATCCCTTCTCCCCCACAGATTTCCCACCTCAAGAACTGCTCCTTGAACTGGAAAATCTTCCAAAGCATGTTTTGGGCAGTGTGTTTGGAGATACCTTCAGAGGAAGGAGAATGTGTTTTGATCAAAAATCTACTTGATCAGTGTTGGATTTCATCCTATGATTTTAGAGTACAAATAGTTATTTTAATTTTTTTCTTTTGATCACAGTTTGTTTTAGTTCTCTGGGGCCTAAATCCTGAAAAGCAAAATGTATACCTGACTTCATTTAAGGGACAATTTTGCCTTGGTTCTTAGAATGAAAAATGTACTAATTTTTCTATTGAAGTACCAATTCTGAGTGAATTCCAAAGAGTGAATAAGCATTATATATTGCCAACTCTATGCAGAACAGATATCTTAGTACTTTAAAAAGGCAGTCCCTTCAGACAAGATCCTGAATATTCCTAGTTTCATAAGGAGCTGCACTATTTTAAGCAAACTGGAATCGCTTCAGAAAGAAAAGAAGATATCAAGAGCTATATCACACAAATTTGTTGAGGATTTTTGAGGCTGAAACAAAATGGGGTTAAGCAAGCTTACTGATACATAGTCCTGCTGAACTGCAAAATAGAGTTGCAGTGTTAAGCCATTTGAGGAGTGTAGCCATAAAGTCGTATTCCCTTATATGTTTACTTGAAAGTAAGTCCCATGGTATTTGATAGGACTTACTTCAGAATGAGCCTGCTTAGGATTGAAACCTGATCTGTTCTTTTCTCTCCTAGACCTTCTTTATGAAATGGTGAAGGCACCTCCACCTAGGAAAAGGAATAATGTGAGATCACTGGATGTGAGTCCTGATGAGAAACACAGACTCTCTTTACTTGCTAAGAGATATGACTTGGAGGACCCACAGTCTATAACAACCCTAAAAGGTTATTCTGGTAAGCAACATTGGCACCTGGCAACTGTATAACAGGTGCTTATTGTTCCTGAGATGCGGTTTCTGGTCACTGGAAGTGATTACTACACACAGAATAGAATTTTATACCCATAGGCAAACTGAAGGGTGCTATAATTTAAGTGGGTTTAAAATGCAAGTTTCACATGTTTTGTGATTCATTCTCTCTTTCCCATTGGGAAAGCAGAAGTAGTTGCAAAGCAAGGAATGCGGTCATGGGGGTTGGGGGGGGGAGTGTTACCCACCTGTTTCACAGCTGAGTAATGCACATGGCCATCTACAAGTGGGGTGTTGGGTGGACAAGTGTGAAGTCCAGGGACCAAAATTGCCTAATTGCACTCAGGCCAAGTTATTTTAAACTGCTTGTGTTGCCATTGTTTAGCCAAGAAAACTTTTTGGCACTGTGTAAGTTTGAACACAGTAAACACCCCACCAACACAACCCCACACACTGTTGTGTTGATTCTGTAGATTCTGCATGGATGAGAAGGTGGGCATACAGGATTATCTTTTCCATGCTTCCTTATAAGTAAGCCTTTCAGATGGCTTCCCTTTATTTGAGAATCAGACTGTAGCATTGCATTGCAAAAAAGAACAGGATTATTTGTTGGAGAAAAAGGTAAGACAGCAAGAAGAGCATTTGCTGGCAAGTCTACCCACTTCCCTCCGTGGTTCTCTGAAATCCTTTATCTCCTCCTCAGAAGTAACAGTATGGCCAGGTTCACACATCATGCTAAGCCCCAGTGGTCTGTTGCATGGGGGGTTGCTTAGCAGGACATTCAACTCAGCAGAGTATTCATGTCATGGGCTGTTTTGTGAAAGCAAGCTACCCTGAGAACCCATGGTTCGTAGCAGGGTTGTTTACAGTAGGTTGATCTCAAAGTAACTTGCTATGATGTCCAAACCCAACAGAGTCCTTCTTTGTGGGTTGTTCAAAACAGTGAGAGAACCATCTGTCAAGAGTAGCAGGAAAAACCCTGCCAGGTGTTCTCATGATTTTGCTAATGGTGCCTCCTCTTTATTTTATCTTGGAATGACATGGGTTGCTGTACTATTTTACTTTGCCTTCTCCCTAGATGGTCATACTCCCTCTGCCACACACTCCCCTTTACTCAATTTATTTATTTATTTGACTTGTATTCTGCATTGCTAGTCCCATAGGACTCCCTAAGCAGATTACAGCAAATTAATGTTGCTGTTTTACCTCACTTTTGGGGAAACGTGTTGCCAGTTCAGCTGTTTATTTTAACTCTCTGAAAGCTTCACACAAATCAACTAAAACACAGTTGTCATTATGCTAAAGCTGGGTGGTTCCTGTACTTTAAAGCATATGCACACATCTCCCCAAAGTTGGTGGGGAGATGTGAACAATGCTTTAAAGTACAGGAACTAAATGCTAAAGCTGTACAAATGCATTTATTAGTGGAGTGGCAGAGCAGGCTACCGAGGTTGTGCTGCAAGGGCCAATGGGTCACATTCAAAGAGTGGGCAGAGGAACAAAGGGGGAAACAAGCCCCAGCAATCACTGAGCACCTGATTGCCTGTTGGGAGTAATATAGAAGGGCAAGTAAACCACCCACCTACCATGTGAAATGCAGATTCTCCGGCTGGAAAAGCAGACAGCCAGTCCAGCAGCAATGGCGACAGTAAATATCCTGCCTGGGCACATGCAAACGCAAGCTGTAACATTCCGACAGCAGCAGGCACCCCCAGCAAGCTGTGCCCTGCTCCTAGCCCTCCAGACTCTGGAGCTTGTGATTCCTTTATCCCGGCATGCCCCTCTTCCAGGCCATTCCCCTACGCCCCCAGAATTGCTGGTGTGGGGCCACTCTGCCCATTCGCTCTGTTGAGTGGAGCCCTGGACACCTCTTCCCAAATTCTGCCCTGACGGTGCCTCCAGGTAGCCTCCCTCAGTGTCTAATCTTTCCTCATCTCACTTTCTTTTTGAACACAGATGACGAATCAGACACTGAGCCTCCAGCTCCTGTCTCATTTTGTGAGAATGCTGAAGCTTTCATACAGTATATAAGGAAAAGACGCCCTGTACATTCCATTTCTAATGACCAGATGCTGCTCACAATTGGCACAGTGCAGCATGTCTACAAGAATGACCAAGTCAGTGCCAATATGGCTTATAACATGAAAATCAAAGATGCTTGGGGGCCTGCACCCCCTCAGAAAGACCAGCGCAAGATCATTCCGGCTCCCCCAAGTCCAGAGCAACAGAAAATAGACCCACCATTGCAACTGAAAGAACTTATGGCTTCTGGTGGCTCTCTGGGTATAGAAAGGATTTCCACGCCCTATGAAACCAGGACACTGCAGGTCAACTTAAAGAACTCCTTGCTCGGGAGTAGCGTCAAGTCCTCCATTCCTGCCCCCACTATCACCCGCTCCAAGTCATGCAGCAGTTTGTCAGGAGTTAAGAACGCCTATACCGGCCATGCCAAGATCCCTTCTCCACCTGGTACTGGGGTACAGCTCATCGGTCACTTTACAGGCTCTTCTGAATCCATCAAGATGCCCCGGATGAAGATTGCGCAACCCGGCATAGGAGCACGCTCACAACCCCCAAAACTCTTCTTTACCCACACCCCAAACCCATTGCGGCAGAATACTGGGTTCAGGCTTTTGACAACACAGCAAATGAAACAATATGCAGAAGAGAAGATATCTGAGTATCAGGCAAACCAGACAAAAGTTATAACCAACAGGAAGAAAGAATGTAAGAATGCCTGGTTAAGGAAAATTCAAGGTCTTCCCATTGATGATTTCACAAAGGAGGGCAAAATTTCTGCCCCTGAACTTGGAGAGAATGTTTTCATCTGAACTCTTAGCACTTCCAAACTGCCTAGAACCCTCCTCACACACACACCCAAAGAGCTGGCATTGGAAGGTTCCGGGCCTGCTATTTTTCCCTCTCAGGAGAATGTCACAAAGTCTATCCAGTGAGTCAGACCTTGAAATAGCTGATGAGGAGGGGACTCTGGGCTACATTATAGGGAGGACAATGTCACTCCTCGGTCAAGCATACTTCCAAGTTGCAATATGTGCCATTTAGAAATGCATATGGCTTCTGAAGAAAGGGTTATGAGCATGATGCTGCAATGATTCTGTTTGTAATCATTTCCTCAGGAGCTCAAGGCTTGTCATGCAGGCCAAACCACAACAAAAAGGCATAAGCTGCGTAGCCTTGAGGGCAACCTCCAGGTGTCTGAGAGCCACCACCAATATATGTTCACAGAATAAAGAGAACTACAGAAATGGCTGTCTCCACTGTGTACTGAGTTTGCTTCCTAAGTGAGTTTGCAAGTATGCAACAGACTTTGCTGATCTAGTACAGTGCCCGTCTTCTTCAGTACTGCAGCATTACACAAGAAACCTGGAAAACGGGCTTGTTAGCTTCTGTTCTCCTGGGACTAAGCCTTCTTTAACATCTCCTTGCCGGGAAGATGTACAGTGGACCTAGCCTGCTCTGGTATGGGACGGCAGGGGCTCAGTCTGTGACAAATGATAAAGGAGGGCAGGCAAGAGGATCATTATCAAGCCTTTGGGCCGAAAACAGATCAGACCTTAGCTTGGTGCAACAGAGCTGTAAAGAAATGGAAGTACCTTCTGTTTATGAATCAGTGTAGTCCTACTTAGAAAAAGAAGAAATAAAGCATAACAGATATGTCAAATTTTCTGCTAAGGTGAAAATGCACATTAAGGTCTTCCTGTTTCTTTCAGTTCCTAGGCTGTCATTCCAGTCCCCATTTTAGTGTTCAGGGTTATCTGCAAGTGCATTGCTTTATGTAGTTAAACATTGATGCAATGCACAATCTGATTTTCAATTCAAATTCTTCTTACTGAGGTTAGCAAACATATTTTGGCCTGATTATTCTAATACAGACACAGGCCTGACAGTAGCTTAAAAAAATAAAAGCAAAATACATGTTGCAGAAGTAGCAAGATCAAGGCAAGTACACTAAGGATGTGCCCACACACGTCAGTTTGCCTAGCAATAAGCCGTGGTGTATGTGCCTGTGTGTGTGTGTGTGGGGGGGGGGGGGACATCCCATTTGTCATTTACTTGACAAATGACCAAGCTCATCATGGATTGTTACCTTCCTTTTCCCCCTTTGGTCTAACAGCAGGTCCTCCAGGAGCATTTGTAGCTCAAGATACTTTCTCCAGCAAAACTGGGAACCATTCTGTCTCACCTTGGTTTTATCCCCACTTTTTTCCAGATCATTTTTCATATGCTCCATTTTGACAGCTCTTCCAGTGTGCCCAAATGGTGCCCACATGTGCACAGAGTTTCACTAATTTTAAAAAATAGCCTGAACAATTCTAGAGTTGTCGGTGTGTGCATTTCCTCAAAACGGAAAGATTTCCTAAGGTTTTTCAAGGTGGGGCACCTGTTACCAAATTGTAGCAGATACCAACCATAGATATTGACACAAAGAGGCTCTAGACAAGGTTGTATTTTGGATTTTGCAAAACATTATTTTTGGATGATTGGCAAGTCAAAGCAAAGATGTAAAGTGATATTTGCTCACCTAAAGGGGGTGGGAAGATTTATCACCTCTTGGCACAAGGATTATTAGTATTATTATATTTCTATACTTCACATAGCCAAAGCTGTCTGGGAAGTTTACAGTAATTATCACTGAATCATATACTCAGGTCACCCATCGAGAGTCTAACTAGGCCTGACTCTCCTTAGTTTCCAAGATTAGGCAGGATCAGGCACTTCAGGCTATATGAAAGCTCAGGGTATTTCATATCCTTCTGTACCCCCAAGCTTGTCCACCCTTTTGTGAGACTCTAGGTACTCAGGAAGATGGAAAAGTGCATTTCAGCCCTTTTTACTGGAGCTAGGTGTACTGACAGCTGTCAAAACATGGCTTCCCTTTTAAAATTGAGATTTAGATGGCTAAAGGGAGGTTTTTGACAGGACATATACAGTTAATGGAATTACTATATATCCCTCTCCAACAACCCCCACCCCATCAGCCCTGCCTAAATAAAATTTGAAAAGGTATAACTGAAAACAGTATCATCAGTAGTGACCGTCCCAAGACAGTAGTATTTATTTATTTATTTGGCTTGCTTGTATGTCGCCCCATTCGCATAAGCCTCGGGGCGGCTTCCAATCAAATAAATAACAATATACAAAAATATACAGAATTGGAAACATCCCGGAGTTAGATAAAAGCAATAAATAATTTAACAATCAATTAAAATAACATTTAAATAAAAAGGTCTTGGCCTGGCGCCGAAAAGCAAATAATGACGGCGCCAGGCAGACCTCTCTGGGGAGCGCATTCCACAGATGGGGCGCCACAGCAGAGAAGGCCCTCCTCTGGGTACTCACCCATCTAATTTCCTTCATGGAGGGTTCCCGGAGAAGGGCCTCTGCCACTGATCTTAGAGGGCAGGAGGGCACGTATGGACGGAAGTGCTCCTTCAGGTACCCAGGTCCCAAGTCGTTTAGGGCTTTATAGGTAAGCACCAGCACCTTGAATTGGGCCTGGACTTCAATGGAGAGCCAGTGAAGCTGACGAAGGACTGGGGTTATATGAGAACAACTCAGTCCCCGTCAGCAACCTGGCAGCTCTATTTTGCACCAATTGAAGTACCCGGAGCGTCTTCAGGGGCAGTCCCACATACAGCGCATAGCAGAAGTCTAATTGGGAAGTGACCAATGCATGCATCACTGTCGCCAGGCAATCGTCCTCCAGGTAGGGACACAGCTGATGGATCAGCCGAAGCTGATGGAAAGCGCTCCTCGCCACGGCTGACACTTGAGCTTCCAAGGTCAGCTAGTAGTATACAAAAACCTTAAATAAATAAATAAAACAAAAGGGGACAGACGTGACTGGGGGGAGGGGGTAGTTGCAGCAAGTCAACCTGGCTCCTGAGTGTGAGGGGAGAGAGGAGAAGCAAGCTATTGACGCACGGATCCCACCGTGCCACTTGGGCATTGGTAGGCTGAATGCTGGCAATTGGCTGTGCTTTGGGCAAGGGGTCTTTTGCAAGTGTTTCTCAGCATCTTACTTGCTACAGCCCACAACCCACAGTGGGGAGGGTCATCCAGGTTCAGACAGTACACTAACTCACCATGGGTGAAATGAATTGTACTGCAGACCATGGGTTCTTTGGGTGGCATGTTGGAAAACAAACTAGCCTGAGTTCAGAGGACACGGCACACCATCGTGGCTTCAGATTAGCCCGAGTTCAGATGATCTGGCTTATTAGCCATGGAAAGTGTGCTGCATGATGCAGTTCTAATTGTGGGATTGTACAATAGGCATGATTCAATGACAACTATGAATACTGAAGTCATGTAGTTCAGTGTGAGAGTTAAGAACATAACAAGAGCCCTGCTGTACAGGACCAAGAGTCAAATAGACCAGCTGTGACTAATGTGATGATGCTTATGGGAAGCTTACCAGCAGGCCTCCAGGATTTTTGCATAATTGGGCTTCAGGTGTTCCTCGAAGGAAGCAACAAAGAAAAGAACTGATATCCGAGCTTAATTTCATATGAATTTATTTAGCTTAGGTTTTCAGCATTTAAAAGTGCACCGTCTACTGTCAAAGCAACAGAGTGCAAGATTTCTGCATGCAATTGAATGCTGGGTTTGGGCTGGGAAAGTTCTGAGGGGCATTTTTACTTACTAACGCAGCCATTTAATAGGAGGGCTTTGCAAGTCACTTTCTCGACTGTATAACCTACCTTATGTCTAGCACAATCCATATCCCTCGATTACATGGGGATGGGAAGCAGGGCACTGACCACCTGGCAGCCTATTCTACCATTAAAACAGTTGGGATCTACAATATCAGTGCTACTTCTAAAATGCTGAATAAGAAAAAAAGTTTCTCTCTCTCAGCTGCTGTGTTCAAGGCGACCTTATCCTTCCCAAGCACAGTTACATTGAAATCCGAAATTTCTCCACTAATTTCTGAACATGTCTTAATTTCCTCCCTGGAAAAAATAGACTTCACACTGCTCACAATAAGAATCAGTGAGATAGCTCTTCAGTTTTCTATTTCTATCAGGCAAGCCTCCTTTTTCTTTCTCTTCTTTATTTCACACTGATTCAAGCAGCGTCGCACTCTTAAAGTTTATCTCTACCTTACCAGCGCGCCTGTCCCATGGTGATGACGTGATCAGTCGTGACTGCCGGACAGTGCTGTGACGTGGCAGGAGGCGGAAGCGATGTTGCGGCAGGTGGGAATGAGGGGTCCCGGGGCGCCGCTGTTTCTCTCCGAGCGGGCTGGCGAGGGGGCAGCGTTGGTGCTGGACGAGGAATGGGTGCTGGGGCCACACATCAGGGGGGCTGCGGGAAAAGTGCTGGGGCTCTTGTCAGGGACTGCACACATTTGCGTTTTGCTGCAGATGACATGCACGGCGGGGCGGGGGGAGGTGTCGAAGTCGGGCTTTTGCTCCCACCCTCTTACTTTCTTACTTATTTGTTTAAAGCTTTTATAGACCGCCCCATTACTAACGTCTCGGGACGGATTACAACAAGCAATTATTTCTTCTTTTGCACAAGGGAAATGCTTGCCTGGTTTGTTTGATTGTCATCCTCCCCTTTCCCACTTCTCGTTTCGGCTGTGTTGCTTTTAGTTTACTTAGATTGCGCTGTAAGACCCCTGGATAAGTAGAGTTTAGGCCTAAGTGCAATGAAACTATGCCCACGTGAAGACTGCAGATGGCTGTGAAAGTTGGTGCACCGATGAATGAGCAAGACTCTAAGGTGCCCCACAACACTTGAGAGTAAGCCCCATTGAGGCTAGTGGATCTCCCTTCAAGTAATCATTTGTAAGAGCAGGATTGAGAAGTCTCCAAACTGCTACAGTTCTTGGCCTGATTTGAGTAGTTGCTGCCCTTGAATCTTCACAACTGACAAGGTTCCTATTGTGCTAAGCACCTGTTCATAGTAAAGGTAGTATGGAGTTTTTTGAGTTTTCAAGCGCTGAGCAGGGTTGTTGGGGACAGGTGCACTCATTCTAGAGTGCACTCACTGATAGGGTTCAAGACCCTCTTAACCGCACACAATGAAGACAACAAACTGGTATAGGCAGTGTAAAACCCTCTTAAATTGCCTTTTAAGATGACAGAATATGAAAATACCATTTGACTTTTGGAGTCAATTACATTTAAAAAATGAATATAATCTATTTTGAAAACTTACAGAATTTTTTTAAGCAAAAGCAATATGTTTTGAAATGTCAACAAATCAAAATGATTAAAAATTGTATCTCAGAAAAGTGTATGTGCAGCTTAAAATGTAACTGCTCTTCTAAAGAACTAAAAAATAGGCTGTCTGAACTGAGTTTCATATAACAAAGGAGATGCTTATGCTCTGCAGATCATTCTGCCTTATCCCTGTGCTTGCAAATAATTTGAGCTAATCAGCCTTTTTAGCATTTTAGCTTATCATTTTCATATTATCGAGAGAACTCCAAATTACCTTCCAGCTTAACAGAGAAAAACTAGGAAAGAAGGAAAGAACATTTTTAATATATTCTTGTGCATAGAATTCATGGTAACACATCAGAACCAAATTAGTATTCTGTGCCTCAAACACTGAGTCCTGCTGATTAAAATGTGTCCACGCCCTTTGGAATGTGGGGTTACAGGCATTCCGGGGTGGGGGGGACACATTTTGGAAGAGCAGAAGGAGCTATTACAGGAGCTATTACAGCAGGAGGACACATTACAGAGCAGGAGGAGCTAGACAGCTAGCTTTGGCTGTCTAACTGCAGTGTTTTAGAGGGGCAGAAAAGGAAGCTGAGGTGCCTCCAGACTACATTGTACCTTGGCAGCATTGGCCACCTTACCTCCTAAGCCCTTTCTCTGAGGTTGCTGTTCCAACTTTGGAGAAGCAGCTAGCTTGGTCCTTGCCTAATCTATGGTAAGGAGGTGAGGCAGGGGGTTGCAAGTGCAGATTCTCAGAGTTCTTTTCTGACTTTGAATTGGGATATCTGAACAATTCTATGTCTTCTAGATCCTGTCTGGAGGATGTAGAATTGCCCTGTTCATCTACCATTTACGGTCTGCTGCCCTTATAATGCCAGCTGAACAGTTGTTTATCATTGCACCAGGATATTCAATTCACTATGGCTCTAACACCTGGCCACTTGTTTATCTAGGACAGTAATGATGACACGGAAGATGTGTCACTCTTTGATGCTGATGATGAAATGACCAGGAGGCCCAAGAAATCTAAGATCAGGTAAGTAACTGATTGCACTCGACTGCTATCTCTTTAATATAACAATCATGTCATCACTTGTATTTTGTGTCTGCCTCCCATGCAAGTGAATTTGGGGAAAATGTAATGACGTTGGCTGTTTCTAATAAGAAATATTTTCTGATGTGTTTTGGAGAGGGAGTCTCCCAAAGAGAAATCCCTTATAGGTGGGCTGTGCCTTAGATGAAAATGCCATTATGATGCTTCTCTGAAAACTAAAGAAAGTGGTATAAAAAAAGAAAGAAAGAGAAGTCATCCTGTGGCTCAGTATCATCTCTTAAACACCACCAAAAAGGGATAATAGAAATAGTTTGACCCCTAAACTCTTGTACTGGGACAAAGAGTCTTAGGTTGGCACACAACCACTGCTGGTGGGTGTCATGCTGCTAGTTGGGAAAGTTGGCTGTGGCACTGGATGAGTCCATGAAGCCGTTGATGCATGCCATTCTAGCAGCAAAAGGATTTAGAAGCTTTAAAAGGCCCTTTATTTACATTTTTACAGACTGTCACAATAGCCACATGACTCTTTGGACAGTTTACACAGTTAAAAACTGTCAACAAAACATAAAAAGCAATATATTAACAAATTCAATAAGAAAACATCAATAGTAAAACATCAGTACCAATAAAAATATCCATTCCAACAGCAGGAGCACCAACTGTCATACACTAACAGACTGGACAGCTGCTTATAAATAAAACATTAAAAATCATCAGTTAAGATAACAGCCTAAAATTAGAATTAGAATTAGAACTATCAACAATTAAAATACTCAGAAAATTAAAAAGTCTTTGCCTGGTGCCGAAATGGGTACAAAGAACGTACCTGGCGGACATCTCTAGGGAGCTGATCCCACAGCCCTTTTGCTTACCGTTGCCCTGATGCAGCTATGATTTGTTTGCACTATCTGACACACTTACGTTCTGTTCTGGGAACAACACACCTGCTTGTGAGCAGAACTGCCACTCTCCCAGCTTTTCTTGTCAGCATGAGCGAAGAAAAGTTTGCTTAACCAGAACTGATGGGTAGGCTACGTACACAGCAGTGGCTGCTGCTCACTCAAGCAGGATGTTCTGCTGATAAACTTTTAGAATGGTGTAGTGGAATGTCTCCTCCGCACAGCTTATTATGTTGGAAGTAAAGGAAGTCTGTACGTGAATTGTGATGTTTACCCGGCCTCTTCTCCCACTGCATTTCTATCAAAGAAGCATTGTTGGGGAGGTTTGGCTTACAAGCTGAAGAATTCCCTTTGCTGCCTGGTTCCACTAAACTAGTTTAGTAATAACTTTAATAGTAGTCAAAGCTTTGCTACCTCTGAAGTGCAGTAGTACAAAATTATGGCTAAAATGGTCATCCTTAGAAAGTATTGGGGTTTGGGCAATTTGGACATGTCAGTCATCAACTAAACTATTGTCTTTATGTTTCTGTGACAGGCATCCAATAGCCTCTTTTTTCCACTTGTTCTTTCGGGTCAGTGCAATAATTGTCTACTTAGTCTGCGAATTGTTCAGTAACAGCTACATTGCCTGCATGGTGACGATCATCCTACTTCTGTCGTGTGACTTTTGGGCAGTGAAGGTAAATCGTTCTGCAAAGTATGGTGGCGCTTTAACCTGCTTGCTATCAGAGAGAGCAGAGGCGAGTCAGCCTGATGCGTCCATTCTTGAGTTAGAGTGGGCGTTCGTTTGTCAAAAGTTCCTTACGTTTAGTGATGAAAGTAAAAGGTTGGAGGAAGCTCTTGGTTCTGACTGTAGTAAAGCTACCTCTGAATATAGGCACATTGAATTTCCTAGCTTCTTTTTGAGAATGCTCATTTGAAAAAAAAAAAAAAAAAAAAAAGCATCATCTGAATCAGTCTTGACCCGTTTCCAGAGGTCTTCTAACTATGGTTGATCTTCTCAGATTCATGGGAATTTTGTTTTGTTCCCTTGAAATTAGAGCCCTCCAAACCTCTGAGTAGGATGGCACATCAGTGATGGACTCCTGCGGTTCCTGCAGATTAAGTTGGTGGGAAGGTATGGCAGAGAGGATCTGATCTGTGTTGTTCAGGCTACAGACTGCTTGAAGATCTGAGATGCCCGTAGTCCTGTGAGAACTACATTTCCCATGATCCTGAGTGTTCCAGGCACATTCAGTAGCATCCCAAGCACATTGCAGCCTGAATGGCAGGGTCTAGTTATTCCAGGCAGTGCTGCCCTTCTACCATGGACTCATCTGTGTCAGAGAAGTTGTGAGGAGAGTCTGACCAGAGTTCCCTTAAGATTCTTTTCACCTCAGCATATGTCAGCACCTACAGAGACAAGGGCAGGCATAGGTGTTTTTCCAGCTAAAAGCAGACCCCCCGGGTTTGGGGTGTGTGGATGTGAAATGAAAAGGCCTGAAAATGAAATCCAAAAGGCCTCAGAGCACCACATGTTGTGCTGAGACTGAGGAACTGCAGATTTCACCTCACTCCTATGCTTCCACAAAGTTGTTAGACATGTAGAAACAAAGCTGCCCTAAACATGGATCTGAAAGCCCCGCTTTTCCCCATCTTTCAGTTACTATAACAGCTTTAACAGATATACTTATTACAAATGCTCACACAAGAAAACACACACACGCTTACTGTTGCTTATACTCCATTTATAAACTCCATTTTTTGCTTATCAGCTCCATGTATAGCTCCCTGCCCTTGTAATATGAAATTAAAATTTGCAGACTCTGTAAAATTCCCAGTCAGGAGTCACAACTAATATCATGCTCAAAGCACTGGAGGCTCAAATGTTCAGTAATATGAGCAGCCACAAATCTCTTCACATCCACTAAGTTACTTTGCACCAGTAAAATGTGACAAATGGGCTTTCACTAAATAGGATCATTCTGGTCTTTTGTATTGATTTGTATTTTTAAAACTTTTAAAAATTTTAGTATTCATATTTTCTCTTAGTAAAATGACAGGGTCTGATGTTTTCTAACAGTACAATCCTATAGATAGCTACTTAGAAGCAAGTAGCCCATATACCCATTGAGGGAAGGAATCACAACCTAAATGTATTTATTGACTTAACAAATATGCAGCTTCTATTATGATTTGTAAACAATTTTCAGTGTGCAAGGCAAGAGGCGAGTGTGTTCCCAGCTATGGGTATATGCGCACAAAAACTTACTCAGCACAGCAGACATTTTTGTTCAAATACAGTAATGCCATTGCTTCCTTCTGCTTACAGATGTTCTTTATCTTCTCTCCCTATGTGTATAAACACAGTTCTCGGTGTGATACTTGTCATCTCTTACAATAGTGTTGTTACTGGTCAGTGGCTGAGATCCAGACTGACACTCTGGTGGGAATATGCCATCAGTAAGGTTATGCTGATGGGATGTTCACACCAGAAGAAGAGGGAGGGAGCACATTTAGCTGACTCCCCCTGCCCACCAGAGCCCTTGCATTCCCGAAAATCCAGCCCACTGAAAATGTCCTCCTCTCACCCCTCTTCCTCCACTAGAAGCCTCTACTGGAACAAACACCCATGGACAGAAGGAGCTCTTCCGTTCAGGGTAGAGAATTCAGATCCATCCTAATAGATTTAGTACATTGAGGGTGGATAGAAAAAGGTGAAAGCAAGTGGGTTCCCTTTGTAAAAGGAAGGGCTGCTCATGTCTGCTTCATATCAAGACCTACATTATTAAGATAAGCACAAGTAGGTTTTTATCATGGATAGTGGCTTAAGTAGATTGTAGTAAAGGTCTGACAGACCACTTGAAAAATACTGTCTCAGCTTGCCTGCTGGTTTTGCCCAGCATTTCCAGCAATAGCTATCCCTGTCAGTTTCCCAAGGGAGAGCCCAACTCTGTCACTGGGTAGCTGCCAGGGTTACAGTTTCATTTGAGATGCCGTAGTATGAAAGAGTGGTAGCAACCCATTTTTGTTAACTCAGAACTGCTGAGATATAGTGGTGTTTTTTTTCTTTGCTTTATTGTTGCTGTTGCTTGAAGGGAGCTGATGAATATTTGCTCTTTGGATGTCCCTGCACGTGTGGAAAGAACTGCCTGTGACATAGCTCTTCACACTTTTTCAAGCAGACACTTGTTTCACAAGTCCCAGTCATCCAGGCAGGCAGATGTTCTTTGAGTTATTTTTGTGATAGTTGGAATGGACATTGTGGAGAGCAAACAGCTCAGTTATTCATGATAACAAGCTAGCAGAGCTTTGTAATAAGATGTCTCCATATCACTGGTGACATATGAAATTCTCCTGTGCTAAATTGCATGTCAGACAAACAGCTGCTGTAAACTGAATGGGATCACTGACAATGCAGTCGAAGACTTAGAATGACATGCTGAGCAGCTGCCAGAGGCACAGTTACAGGTAGACTGACAATGTCACTACTCAGCACAAGAGAGGTGGGATCCTTCTTCCTCTTCTGTTAGTGCACAAAGCTGTGGCCATTCTTAGGATTTACCTTTAGCAAGCTAGATGTCTGCTTCTGCATTGGTGTTCTTTCACGCTGTATTTAACTTTCTCTAGAATGTCACCGGGAGGTTGATGGTCGGCCTCCGTTGGTGGAACCAGGTTGACGATGATGGCAAAAGCCACTGGGTGTTTGAAGCCAGGAAGGTAACCATCTCCCTATTGAGAGAAGTATGGAATTGGTGGTATGAGGTGGTGTGTTCTAGTGCTGAAGGCATTTTACATCCCAGTCGTGTGTGTGTGTGTGCGCACGTGCGAGAGAGAGAGAGAGAGAGAGAGAGATCCAGTCTACCCTATCATCTGCTTTATCTAGGTGATTGGCTGCAGCCTCCACTCCTTTTGGTCACATTTTCAGATGGCATGAATTAAAATTCATCTCAAGCAACCAGAGTAGATGGCATTCTGGGCACCTCCACTAGGATTCCTATCAATGCAAGCATCATGTTAGCATGGTTCTCTCCCTTAGCTGTTCCTAGAGTGGGGAATAAATCTCCTCTGGCCATATCTTCTCCCCTCTGACCTAAAATTCTCCCAACTACACTTGTGCTAACTAGGTTTCAATGACCCTGTTTTCAAATCCTGGGTAGCCATAGTCCATGGTTACCATTAACTATGGCATGCATTGGTGATGATCTATGATCTAACTGGCCCTTAAGAAAAATTCACATGGAAACAGGGAACATATACCCTATAACAAATCTTGATCCCTTAGGTTTGGAGAGCAGACAGTATTACATTGATCCCAGCTATTAATATGAAAATATGATTAAGCATTCCCAAGAGAAAATGGTCTCTTTAGTACATCTGTGCTTCCTTTGAGATGCTGTTTCCAGCAGCAGTCCCCTGCATGCTTTAAAACAAGAGGCCCTCTCCTCTCCAGGATTCATAGTTGATCATGGTGGTCCAGTAAGGAGAAGTAGTTGGTCCTGTAACACTCATTTTCAATTTATGTAGTAGCTCTACCTAGCTGTTAGACATTATTTTTCTGTGCATGCATAAATATTTTGCTGGGCTGCTAGTTCATGGCCAAAAACAGTTGGTCCTCAAGTATTTATTTTGCGCAAATGGAAATACATTTCAGTGAGGGAAATGTCCTAAAAGCTTGAGACAGACAGTTTTGTACTGCATAACTTGTTAGTGGAATTATTACATCCTCCTTGTTCATGGTGTTGTAATTGGTATGCCACATTCTTTTTTCTTTCTCTTTTTTAAAAAATACTTTTCTTATTTACTCATGGCTTTTTATATGCTGTCACATAACTAAAGTTATTTGGACGGTTTACAATAATAATGTTGAAATGCAATCCAAACTTAAAAATATGAGTACAGCATTGTGTTTATGACTTTTGAACTACATTGAAGCAACATTTCTTAACATTCTTAGGCATCTACTCAGAAGAAGAAAACCACATCAGAAGCAGAGTCTAGAATCTTCTGGTTAGGATTGATCACATGCCCTTTGCTGTGGGTAATTTTTGCCTTCAGCGCCCTGTTTTCCTTCAAGGTGAAGTGGCTGGTGAGTGAAGTGCTTGATAGATGCCTGACTAAACTTGTTCCTTTGACAGCAGCAAGGTCTTGACTCTTGTTTGTGGTGTTTTCCTTTACAGGCAGTTGTCCTTATGGGTGTGGCATTGCAAGGAGCCAACCTTTATGGTTACATCCGGTGCAAAGTAGGCAGCAGGAAGAGCCTAACCAGTATGGCAACCTCGTTTCTAGGGAAGCAGTTCCTGCGACAGGTATTTTGTATTTTCTTTATATAACTGTCTTTCCCACTCCTGGTGCATGCCGTGGTAACGATCTTCCAACTTTGCATTCTCTGAATTTTTAGAGCAATTTCCTTTGTCCACACAGTGAAAGCTTTAAGAGTTTGTGATCCAGTTCTGGCAAAAGTATGTTTCCCAGGCCTCAAACATGGGTTACTGCACAACTTTTCCTCTGCCTTTTCCTGCTGAGAAAGCACGACACGCAAGCTTTAGTGTGTTCTGCTTTGTTTGCCAAACATCATCTCCTTGTGGAGAAATATATTTTGTTTCTTTGACAGCAGTGAGGTTATGACTCTTGCTTGCTGCCATTTTATAGGAAAGCCTATGACTAAAGCATCACCTTCCGAAAGATCATGGTTCTTTCTGTGCACCTCTCTTGTCCAGACTCACCGTTAGGAGATTAGCTCCTCCCCTGTAGAAATGAATAGCAGGGTGCAAGCAAGGTGGTACATCCTTTGCCAGGCAAATGACCAATAAGTGGGCATTTGTCCATGTTCATATGCCAAAGCCATTTGAATAGGGTTCCTTTGTGTATGCACCAAGTCTCTTTGCCATTTGTGCCCAGTGCATTTGCCTTTGCTCTTTATATGCCTCCTTTCCTAGACTGTAAGGCCCCCCCCCCATTCCCTTGTTCTTCCTGAGTAATATAATGGCCTGTTTCTGAACTGTTCTGGCTTTGAAAGATCCTTCTTACATCTTAGACGGTCAGAGGTGTGGATGTTTGTGAAATGAAGAAAACTGTGATACAGTTGATAGACTAACCAGTCTGGAAGCTCCCTGAGTGACCTTGGGCCAGTTACTTTTCATTTACCTACCCTTCCTCATAGGGTTTTTGTGATCATAAAAGTGGAGTGATCCTCATCTATGCCTACCTGAGCCCCTTGGAGGAAAGACTCTAAATGCGACCATAACAATCTCACCATCTGTAATTTAGATCATGCCCTTCTGTTTCTTCTTCCTCAACCATCTCATTCCTGCTGTTGCCTGGACTGTTGATACATTATACTGCATCTGTATTTTCCTGGAAATATGTAGGTTTCATAGACTAAAAACCATCTTTAGGGTAATAGTTGATTGATGCTTTGACCACCCAAATAACCAGGTCCAGAAAATACGCAGTGCTTCTTCTGATTTTTTAACATATATATTAAGACCTGTATATTAACTTCAATATTAGTGTCATTAAAAATAAGTATATACTTTCCATCCAATTGGTATGTTTCCAGTTTACCTGGGACTTGAAATGGATGTTCAGCTAATTTCATAAGAGATAGAAACATAGAAACAGCGCGAGTCAGAAGGGACCTCCCGGGCCATCTAGTCTGACCTCCAGCACCAGCCAGCTCCGCTCATGACATGCCCACCATGTGCACATCCAGCCTATCCTTGAACACCCGCACCTATGGGGCCTCAATGACCTCTCGTGGAAGCCCATTCCACACCCTCGGGGTCCTGACTGTCAGGAAGTGCTTCCTGGCATCCAAATGGAACTTTGGCTCCCTGAGCTTTGCTCTGTTGGAGCGCGTTCTGCCTTCCTCTGCAGGGGAGAGCAGGTCTCTACCATTTCCATGTGACATCTCCTCACATACCTGTATGTTGCCAACATGTCCCCTCTGAGTCTCCTCCAGGCTGAAGAGACCCAGTTCCCTCAGCCTCTCCTCATACCCCATCCCCTGCAAATCAGCCACCAACCTTGTGGCCCTATGCTGCACTGACTCTAACCTGGCTATATCCTTTCTGTAATGAGGGGCCCAAAACTGAGCACAATACTCCAGTTGCAGGCACACCAGAGTCATGTAGAGTGGTAGTAATACCTCTCTTGATCTAGAAGTCACACTTCCGGCTATGCACCCAAGGGTGGCATTCGCCCTCTTGACCACCGCATCACACTGCTGACTCATGTTTAGCCTGTAGTCAACCAGTACCCCGAGGTCCCTTTCACAAGTGCTGCTCTCCAGCTACTTGTCTCCTAACCTGTACTTATGACACCCATTCCTATGCCCCAAGTGCAAGACCTTGCACTTATCCACATTGAACGCCATACTGTTGTCTCCTGCCCACTTTCATAGTCTGTCCAGATTCTTTTGGATCTGGAGTACCTCCTCCTCAGTTGTGGCCACTGCCTCAGTTTTAGTGTCGTCTGCGAATTTGATCAGCAGACTGTTCACCCCTTCTTCCATGTCATTAATGAAAAGATTAATCAGGATCGGCCCCAGGACAGAGCCCTGTGGGACCCCGCTTGTCACTGGCCGCCATCCTGATGATTCCCCGCAAATGGTTACCTGCTGCTTTTGGTCAGTCAACCATGCCCTAATCCACCGGACAGTGCTTTGGTGTATCCCAATACTCCTCAGTTTCTCCACCAGGGTATCATGGGGCAGTTTGTCAAAGGCCTTGCTTGAAATCCAGGTATACCACATTCACTGCATCCCCTCCATCTAGCCATCTCGAAACCTTGTCATAGACTTCCACAAGGTTTGTCTGGCAGGACCTGTTTTTGTGGAAGCCGTGTTGTGTGGCTGTCAGCCTCCCTTCCCTATCTAGCATCACTAGATCTCTCTCTATTATGAGCCTTTCCATTGTTTTTCTTACAATGAACATAAGGCTAACAGGTCTATAATTCCCCATGTCCCTTCTACTACCCTTTTTGAAAATTGGGGCCACTGATGCCACCCTCCAGTCCTCTGGAACTTCACCCATTCTCCACAAGGTCTCAAAAATGGAGGCCAGCAGGCGTGAGAGAACCCCTGCCAACTCTCTAAGTACTCTCGGGTGTAACTCGTCAGGACCTGGCACCTTTGTAATGTCCAATGCCCTGAGGAGCCCCTCGACTTCAAGGGGGTGACTCTAATCTGTGCCCCTAAAAGTCCCCAGCCTCATCTAATCTCCTGTGCGGATATCCCCTTCCTGCTTTGGGGAGAACACAGAGGCAAAATAGTCATTTAGCATCTGTGCTTGTTCCCTCATATCAGTCACTGGATCTCCTTCCTCCTTATTTAGTGGTCCCACCACTTGTCTCCCCTTCCTCTTCCTATTTACATGCTGAAAGAAGCCCTTTTTGTTGCTCTTGATATTCTTGGCAAGTCTCAGCTCGTAATCAGCCTTAGCCTTGCGAAGAATCCTTCTGCAACAGGCCTCCTTCTCCCGGTATACCCTTTTGTCTATTTCCCCCAGTACCCATTTCCTATGGAGGTTCCTCTTTCGTCTAATCTCCCTAACCACCTCCTTTCGCATCCATGGCGGCACTCTCCTCTGCCTCCCCACCTTACTGACTAGAGGTATCGTCAAGGCTTGCGCCTCCAAAACCTCCCTTTTGAGTGCCATCCACCCCTCCTCAACTCGCTTACCTTTCAGTAACCTATCCCAGGAGACTTTCCCCAATCTGGCCTTCAGTTGGCCAAAGTTGGCCCTCTTGAAGTCCCAGCTTCTAGTGCTTGACCTGCTGCATGTCCCCATTCCTTTGAGTGATCACTCGCATCCAGAGCTCCCCTAATCTGTGCTTCATCTATCAGCTCCTCCCTATTGGTCAAGACCAAGTCAAGGATGTTTCCCTTCCTCGTCACCTCTCGGACCCTCTGTGTGAAAAACCCTCCCTCTATAGCTTCTAGGAAGTGATGTGACTTGGCTGTCACTGCCGAGTGAGTCTCCAAACTAATATCTGGGAGATTGAAATCTCCCATTATTACTATGTCTCTCCCCCGAGATTTCCTTAGAATCTGGCCTGTCAGGACATCATCCAGGGTCTCAAGTTGACCTGTGGGGCGATAACATACCCCCACTGTCAGGTCCCTTTCCCTATCAAAACCCCTTAGTTTCACCCAGACTGCCTCTACCGAATCCCCATCTGTGTTGCATTCTATCTCACTGCATCCTATCCCTTCCCTGACGTATAAAGCCACGCCCCCACCTCTCTTTCCCTTCCTGTCCTTTCTAAAAAGGTGATACCCTTCTATGTTCACATTCCAGACTTGCCTTTCATCCCACCAAGTTTCTGTGATCCCCACCAGGTCATACCCTCCTATTCCCAGGAGAGCTTCAAGCTCTTCCTGCTTATTACCCATGCTCCTAGCATTGGTGTACATACACCCCAACTCCTTCCCACCGCTTCCTTTCCTTGGAGTTCCCAGCCTCCTCCTTCCTCCCACCCTCCCTGATACCTGGCCCCTCTCTGTAGGAGTCCTGTCAGTCCCTGCAGTATCTCTAAAACCCTGCTCCCAGAGCCCTGATCCTCCCCCCACATTTGTCCAGTACAGACACATTACTGGGGAGCCTGAATGCACCCACCCACCCCCCTCCCAGCTCAGTTTAAAGTCTTCCGGACGAAGCTCGCTAGAGCTTCTCCAAAGGACCTTGTCCCCATCCTCTTGAGGTGTAACCCGTCCCTTGCCAGAAGTCCATTGGCAAGAAAATGAGTGCAGTGGTTGAGGAACCCAAAGTGGTCCTTCTGGCACCACACCCTAAGCCAGTCATTCACCTAGGCGACCCTCTTATCCCTGCCTGGCCCAAATCCCTGGACTGGTAAGATAGTTGAGAGGGCCACTTGGGACTTAAGGTCCCTGAATTTCTTCCCCAAGGCCTTGAAGTCCCTGGTGATCCCACCCACACCCTGCCTGGCCACATCGTTTGTGCCCACATGGATCACCAGGAGCGGCTGGTGACCCCCGGAGCGAACAAGACACTCCACTCTGTCCTTCACATGCTGGATGCGTGTGCCCGGCAGGCAGTAAACCTCCCTTGTCTCCAGGTTGGGGCGGCACACCGCCAGCTCAGTGCCCCTCAGCAGGGAGTCCCCAACAACAATCACCCGCCGCCCCGTCTTCCTGGTGGTGGTGGGCGGTTGTGCCCTGGCCCTTGCCTCTCCTGACCTTTCCTGCTGATCCCCCGAGGCCTCATCAGCCTCAGCCTCCCCAAGCAGAGAGAACCTGTTTCCCAGCTCCAGATTGGTGCCAGGAGAAGGAGGAGGCCGTGCTGGCCTCCTCCTCCTGTGGATGACATGCCTGCATGTCTCCGCAGCTGCTCCTCCCGAGGTCTCTCCCTCAACCCTCTGTCCAGAGGGGGGCTGCTCTGGGGGGGCCTGGAGAGCTCCCTTGGCCCTCAGGCACCTCACCTCCTCTTTTAGCAGGGTCACCATCTTGCACCGAGGGCAAGTGTATCCCTGCCTCTCCTGGGGGAGAAGGGCGAACATGTCGCAGCTGTCACAGCGGACAGTAACACCCGTGACTCCCGCCAAGGCCATCTCCTGGTCTGCCATCGGTATCCCTTCCGAGACCTTACCTTGGTCCCCTGCCTTGTTTGTCCTGCAGTTCCTCTCACTCGCCCAGTTCTCCCAGGCAAAAACCCACTCGCACACACACACAAGGATAAAATAAAGTTAAATTTATAAAATAAACTTAAATTTAAATTGGAGAAAAAACAAAGCACAGCACAAAACAAAACAAAAATCCTCTGTGTCCCAGGGAAGGGAGTCCCCCGGACAGCCCGGGCCACAGCTAAGGGACTCAGTCAAGGGATGATGCCCTTGTCGCGTCGCCCTTAACGTGTCGCCGTTGGTACCGCCAAAGGCTGAGCTCCGCCTTATCAGTCCCTCAGGCCGGTGGCCCCGCCTGCCAGCTTCCTCCTGGCCCCTCTGGCCTCTCTGCCCCACCCCTTCCTCTCTGCTGCTCCTGGCCCTCTGCTCCCCCGCCCAGCTCCCACCTTGCCTTCGCCAGTCCCCTGGCCACTCAGCACTCTCTCCCAGCCTGTGCCTCTGCTGCTCTGCCAAGGGATCATATATCCAGGCCTTAGTGGTCACTAAGGAACAGTGTCTGACTCACTACTAAATTATAACTTCCAGCTGGAAGAACTTATATGAACATGCCCATATGGAAGAATTTATTTAAGCTGGACAAAATCCTCCTCTTCTTTACCCCGCACAAATATTTTGTCCTTAGAGGTTGAAATATCCCTAGGCCATTGGTCTGTGCACACCATCTTTGGTTCTGTAGCTATATAGTATAGGATGTACCTTTCCAAAGGTGGGGATGGTTCAGCTTCTTGAGCAATTTTTCCAAGGAGGCTTGTCTGCTGTTTCATTCTAATCTAATGCTGCATTCCTTTTCTTTGCAGACTGTGTCTAAAGAGGACCAAGCAGTATCTTGAAGATCACAGAGTTCCCAGTTTCCATTTTGATTCCTTCTGAAGAATGAGAGAAATATTTCCTTCACCTCTGTACAGGAAATTTATAATATGTGTGGATTTTTGTAATTAAATCTATCTTATAGCAGTGTTAGCTATTTCTCTCTCTCTCTCTTTCTCTTTTTTAATGATATACATTTTGCAGAGTCCTTCCTGACACTTAACTAGCTGCTGGACTCTCCAAGTGAAATAACTCCATTTTTATTTAAGTAAAATACCTTGATGACAGATGGTAGCTATTTATGACACTACATTTATTAAGTAGTTTCTGGACCCATGAGCTTTGATGTGAAATACTGGGCAGTCCCAAAAACTGCTCATCTGAGAAGCCACAGATCAAGGGCTTGAGCAGTTTCCATCATGTGGGAACTTCAGAATGCAATCTCTAATATAGCATCTGATGTAGCTACATAATTGCTTTGTTTCTTGCTGGTTTTTAAAACAGCAAGTGTCCTAGCTCTTAAGTGTGTGGAGGAGAATCTGAAAAACAGGTGGATAGCTTCTATTAGAGTTAGGAACTGGAAGAGGAGCCTTAAAACTCCCAGTTTTGCAAGTGGAGCAAAGGGACCCCGATGTCTCTTAAGTTACAAAATTGGTTTTGGCAAAGGATTAAGCTTTCCTGAATGCAGGATCTGAAACTATGTAGTTGGGATTGTTTGTTTGTTTGTTTGTTTTTGCATGGCCTCATCCCCTGTTCCATAACACCATTCTGCAATTTTATTGATGTTTTTGTGGTGTACATGCAGTAGCCTGTTAGGATTGCATAGCAACTATCCTTTTTCATGTTTATCATTTTAGCTAAATGGTCATGAGAACAATCTGTGTGCACCCTTATGAAAGTTGTACTGAAAAGTGAACGTATCTGTCTATCCATTTGATACAGCTGTTTCTTGGATAATGACAGAGTAGGTAAAAGTTTAATCCACAGAAAGTAAAGAACAATACTATCCCTACTCACACAAAATAGTTGACTAATGCAAAATGGTTGACTTTGATATGGTGTATTTCAAAGTATAAATCAAGAACCCTTTATCTTATTATTGATACAAAATGTTTGTGTTCATATGGAACACTGAACTGGTACAGCATTATATTAACACACATTGCCTTGTTCACTCCCCTTCTTTTCTTTTGTGGTGTGGCCAAGGGGAAAAGATTGGCAGTTTTTGCTTTTGCTTTTTATCTAACTGCAGTTTAGTGTTATGCCAAAACTGAAGAAAGTTTGGGTTAGTCCAAATAATAGTTTATTGAAATAAGCTATGGTCAAACTGGTCTATGAAACTGACTCATTTCAATAAACCATATTTAACCACAGCTGTTCGGACATAAGAATAGATTCTGGTTCATTGAAAAGGAAGGATGAGCTCCGGATTTCTTCATAACTGCACTGGAGGTTGCGGGTGGGGAGAAGTCCAGTCCACAGATCACCCCAGTGTTGGCATACATTGTGACCCAGGAAAAGATCGGGGTTACATCTATGTTGCATGTGCATCTTGCTATACATAGAAAGTACTGTATGACTGGAGGGGGGGCGTGTCCTGCCCATGCAGTGAATTGGTGGGGTGGGTTGCACAACGGGCCACATTGCCCCAGTCCACACAGAGCATTTCACAGGCACGGAGCAGAGATGCACGCCAGCCTGAGACTCTCGTTACCACTTGTACTTTTATGAGAACAGGCCCCAGGTTGGCAGTGACATGAGCACTGAACCATTAAAATAATTTCTTCAGAACTGGTGCAATTCGAGAGTTAGAGCTTTTTTTAAATTTAGGGGCAGTTTTCTGTCATTGTCTCTGTCCATGTCCGATTTGGGAATAATTGAAGCCATCCAGAGACATCTTGCACCGCACATACTGGTTCAGTGCAATTCAGCCAGCTTGGGAGTGGCACCCCACTGCAAGGCCCCTTGTTATGCAGCTGCATTTTCTTCCCCCTTTGCTGCCACTGACTGAGTCCAGCCTGTTCACACCATGACTGGTTAGGCTGCTTTTCAGACTCAGGACTAAACGTTACTAACCGTACTAGAGCTTTGTAAATGCACTTCTGAAATCAAAGTGTTCATTCTAATGTGATCAATTTTCATATATCTAAAAGTGTTTAAATGGAAATTAAAAGTTGTATGACTCAGTTGCTTTTCAAGAAAAGTTGGCAAGCTATAATTAGCAAAGAAGCAGTGATTGGTAGTTAATAATGTTGCCTAACGGGGGTTCAAAAGAACCTTTCAGTTGGCAAGATTCTAAATGGAGTGTTGACAGTTAAGCTTTGTGCTTGGATATCCTAGTAATGTGAGGATTGGGTTTGACTTCTTGGGATACTAAAAGCAATGTACTTAAAATCTGATCTGCATTGTGCATGTTTTTGAAACCTTACAAATTAACATGTTTTTTGAAAGAAATATATTTTTTTAAAGTTGTGTAACTTTGAAGTTGTTTGATTAGTGTGCGGACATCATTTGTCTGCAGTAATGTAATGTCTGTTGTGCTGATTAATAAGCATATGTTTTTAACCTGGCCTCCTTTATCCGTCTTTCTTTGTACGTTTTGTTTGCTGTTGGTCTATTTTGCCAGTTCACATTTTTCTCACACCCTTGTCAGTTGTATTCTCTGAAGTTTTCCATAGTCCTGAGGTCTTCTTTAAAGAAATGGAATTGTGTCAGCCTTGTTGGTCCTAATGGCCAATCAAGTTGAGCTTGTCACCATCAGCTTGTCAGTGAAGCTATTGAGTAAGAGCAGCCTATACTGATTGGTTATTGAATCTTCTAGGCAAGCTCAGGTTAATCTAAGCTTGGGAGTCTCTCAAGAGTGATTTAGTGCTTCAGCCTTGATTTTCAAGAGATTAATTCCAGCTGTATCTCGGGCTGACAGCTGCAGCACTTGGTGACTTGGAATGGGCCCTCATTGATCTGATGCCAATAGGTCTTTCATGCTTCAGATACCATAGTGTTTCAGTGAAATCAGTCCACATTTTCAGTTGTGAACCATCAAGTGTTGAGTAAAACGTGATGCTCTTGACTGTGTGAGTCATGCTATTCTTGAATGTACATATTACTCACAGCACATGAACATCCATGGTACTTTACAGAGTTGAAAAGGCAATATAGCTGCGTCACTGATCCCTAGAAGCTTACAATCTTCTTCCTGGTTTTCACCAATTCCTCTCTCACATTTTCTCCTGCCCCATAGAACCGGCTGCAATGTACTTCATCAGGCATGATATTGGCAGTTTCATTATTAATGAACCCCACAGTGGGAATGGCTATTCCAGCAGCCACAAACTGAGCCGATGCTTTCATCAAGCTGTCCAAAATCTTGGGATTCTTCTCCTTGTATGTAAGTCACTTCCACATCAAATCCCTTTAGAATTTATGATTTCTTTTTTTAGAAGTTAGGATTGTTTTTGTCCCAGTGGACATGACTTGCTTATTTCCTAATTTAATTCCTGTTCCCACAGTTTGAAGAGATCCTTCTGGCACTCTTTCATTTTTTGATTAAGTTACATTTAACTATTGTCATCAGCAAGCTTGGTCACTTAATCCCCGATCATTTAGGAAAATGTTAGAAAGCACTGGTTCCAATATAAATGCTGTTTAATTCCTTCCTCTGTGAGATTAAATGGACATTTATTTATTTACATATATTTATAGGCCACCTATAATTGCCAAGGCCTTCCTAGGTGGCTTACAATGTGTAAGTTCTTGTTATTGGAATTAATCAAATCCATTTATCCTGTTTTTCTTGCATGGAATTTGAGTCGAGGAATAACCATTTATATGTAGAGCTATCTTGATTTCTTATGTTTGTCTTCATGTAAATTTTCCATTCTGGGAGGGTGATGAACCACTTTATCTTGGTCATACAGGGGATAAATCATCAGGCGATGATTATAGGCAATGAAAAAGAAACGAAATGCATTGATACAAGATGGGGAATATCTGGCTCAACAGAACTGAAAAAGAAAAGACCTCAGAGTAATTGTGGACAATAGGCTAAACATGAGCCAACGATGCGATGCAGCCTCCAAAAGGGCAAATGCTATTTTGGGATGCATTAACAGAAGTATTACTTCCATATCATGAGAAGTGGTAGTTCCTCTATACTCCTCACTAGTCAGACCTCACCTGAAATACTGTGTCCAGTTCTGGGCACCAAGATTTAAGAAAGATGCAGGTAAATTAGAAAGGGTCCAGAGGAGGGCAACAAAAATGATCCAGGATTTGGAAACATTGCCCTATGAGGAGAGACTGAGAGAAGTGGGCATGTTCAGCCTTGAGAAGAGAAGACTGAGCAGGGACATGGTATCCCTCTACAAGTACCTCAAAGGCTGTCACAAAGAGGAAGGTCAAGAGCTCTTCTTGCTGATGCCAGAGTGCAGGACACAGAATACTCAATTCAACCTGTGACAACCCAGATTCAGGCTGGACATCAGGAAAAGCTTCTTCACTTTCACAGCAATATGACACTGGAACCAGCTGCCCAGAGACGTGGTGGGCTCTCCCACACTAGAGACATTCAAGGTGAAACTGAATGGTCATCTAAGTGGGATGCTGTAACGTGGTGTCCTGCAACAGCAGGGGTTGGACCCAGTGACCTTCATGGCCCCTTCCAACTCTACTATTCTATGATTCTATGATATTTTCAGCCCTTAGAATGGGTGAAGAACCTGTGGCCTTCCAGATGTTGATGGACTGCGACTCTCATCAGCCCTTGACACACATTCCAAATCCATGCCTAAAGGTGATTTTAATATATTTTTACATTTTAAAGGAGCGCTTGCGTCCATACATGCCCTCCCGCCCCTTGAGATCGGCAGCAGAGGCCCTTCTTTGGGAGCCCTCCGTGAAGGGTATTAGGAGGGTGAGTACCCGGAGGAGGGCTTTCTTTGCGGTGGCGCCCAACTTACGGAACGCGCTCCCCAGAGAGTTCCACCTGGCGCTGTTGTTATTTGCTTTTCGGTGCCAGGCCAAGACCTTTTTATTTAAACGTCGTTTTAATTGTTAGTATTATTTATTGATTTTATATCTTCGGCCAGGACATCTCCAATTATACTGTTTTATATGGTTAATTAATTGTGTGTGTGTGTGTGTGTGTGTGTGTGTGTGTGTGTATTATTTATTTATTTGTTGTTGTGAGCCGCCCCGAGGCTTCGGCGAATGGGGCAACATAGAAGTTTGCTAAATAAATAAATAAAATCGCTTTTAAGATTCTTCAGTGGTTACTGCTGATTTCTCTTTCAGGATTCATCCTGGGTAACAAGATGATACTTGGATTCCTGCAGGAGGTGGGACCTGCAATCTTAAACAGGTTGAGGAGGCTTTGTCGCTTCATGCTACTCTGGAATTCAAATACCAAAGCAAGTAGTTGAATTCTGAGAAAATACCGTATGGAACAGTGACCTTTCTTGGGTGAGCAAACTGCATGTCAGTGCAGCCCATGCATATTTTCCCTCTCCCTGTTAATGCTGGAATGCTTAGGAATATGAGAGCAATTCTGCATTCGATTGGGTGTATCTTCCTCTTTCTCCCCTGCCTTTTGCTTCCCTTCTTTCCTTAGCTATTTGTAAAGCTTCCTCAGACAGCCATTTTGCTTTCTTGCATTTCTTTTTCTTTGGGATGGTTTTAGTTGCTGCCTCTTGTACAATGTTGCGAACCTCCATCCATAGTTCTTCAGGTCTATCGGATCTAATTCCTTAAATCTATTTGTCACCTCTACGGTATATTCATCAGGGATATGATTTAGGTCATACTTGAGTAGCCTAGTGCTTTTCCCTACTTTCTTCAATTTAAGCCTAAATTTTGCAACCAGAAGCTCATGATCTGAGCCACAGTCAGCTCCTGGTCTAGCTTTTACTGACTGCATAGAGCTTCTCCATCTTTGGCTGCAGAGCACATAGTCAATCTGATTTTTGTGTTGACCATCTGGTGATGTCCATGTGTAGAGTCGTCTCTTGGGTTGTCGGAAAAGAGTGTTTGCTATGACCATCGTATTCTCTTGACAAAATTCTACCAGCCTGTGCCCTGCTTCATTTTGAACTCCAAGGCCAAACTTGCCTGTTATTCTGGTTATCTTTTGGCTTCCTACTTTAGCATTCCAATCCCCCATGATGATAAAGACATCATTTTTTGGTGTTAATTCTAGAAGGTGTTGTAGGCCTTCATAGAACCGGTCAACTTCAGCCTCTTCAGCACCAGTGGTTGGGGCATAGACTTGGACTATTGTGATGTTGAATGGTTTGCCTTGAATTCGAACAGAGATCATTCTGTCATTTTGGAGATTGTATCCCAGTACTGCTTTTTCTACTCTTTTATTGACTATGAAGGCTACTCCATTTCTTCTGAGGGATTCTTGCCCACAGTAGTATACGTGATGGTCATCTGAATTAAATTCACCCATTCCTGTCCATTTTAGTTCACTGATTCCTAAGATGTCGATGTTCAGTCTTGTCATCTCTTGTTTGACCACATCCAGCTTGCCTTGATTCATGGATCTTACATTCCAGGCTCCTATGGAGTATAGATCTTTGCAGCATCGGATTCTCATTTCACCACCAGATACATCTGCAACTGAGTGTCCTTTTGGCTTGACCCAGTCGCTTCATTCTTTCTGGCACTACTAGTACTAGCCCTCTGCTCTTCCCCAGTAGCACATTGGACACCTTCTGACCTGAGGGGCTCATCTTTCCGCATCGTATCTTTTTGCCTTTTGGTATTGTCCATGGGGTTTTCATGGCAAGGATACTGGAGTGGGTTGCCATTTCCTTCTCCAGTGGATCACCTTTTGTCAAAGCTCTTTGCTATGACCTGTCCGTCTTGGGTGCCCCTGCACGGCATAGCTCATAGCTTCATTGAGCTACGCAAGCCCCTTCGCCATGACAAGGCAGTGATCCATGAAGGAGACTCTCAGTTATAGGAGAGTCAATCTACATGTGATGCAGGAGATCAATCCAAGACTGGGTCTCCAAACATTTTATATTTCAGTGAAACACTGTCAGGGTGGGGGAGGACCAACCATTGAATCAGAGTGACATGGGATAGTTTCATCTCCAAAATTTCCCCCAAATGCTGGTAATGCTAGATCAGGGAGCAGGAACCACATGTGTGCACACACACATTGCTGTTGTTAGTCGCGAAGTCGTGTCCAACCCATCGTGACCCCATGGACGACATTCCCCCAGGCCCTCCTGTCCTCCACCATCCCCTGGAGTCCACCCAAGCTCATGCCGACTGCTTCAGTGACTCCATCCAGCCACCTCATCCTCTGCCGTCCCCTTCTTCTTTTGCCAGCTATTGTTCCCAGCATTAGGCTCTTATCCAGGGAGTCCTTCCTTCTCATTAGGTGGCCAAAGTATTTGAGTTTCATCTTCAGTATCTGGCCTTCTAAAGAGCAGTCAGGGTTGATCTCCTCCAGGACTGACCGGTTTGATCGCCTTGTGGTCCAAGGGACTTGCAGGAGTCTTCTCCAGCACCACAATTCAGAGGCCTCAATTCTTTGGCGCTTAACCTGCCTTATG